CATGTTCTCCTGATACTTTGCCATTTTCTCGATTTTCGTGATATTAATTTGGAAGTTCTCGGAAATTCAATTCTTGGAATTTTAGATAGTGCTACCTCTTTGCTGATCATGTTCTCCTGATACTTTGCCAGTTTTCTCGGTTCTCGATTTTCGCGATTTGAATTTTGAAATTCTCGGAAGTCCAATTCTTGGAATTTTAGATAGTGCCCACCTCTTTGCTGATCATGTTCTCCTGATACTTTGCCAGTTTTCTCGGTTCTCGATTTTCGCGATTTGAATTTGGAAATTCTCGGAAGTCCAATTCTTGGAATTTTAGATAGTGCCACCTCTTTTCTGATCATGTTCTCCTGATACTTTGCCAGTTTTCTCGATTCTCGCGATTTGAATTGGGAAATTCTCGGAAATTCACTTCTCGGAAATGGTGGAAAATTCTTAGAATTTTATTATACAGGGTGTCTCATTTTAAATGATCCACGCAATTATCTCCAAAAATATGAAAGATACGGAAAGTAATCTAAAATTTGAATCGAACGGATATACTTATTTATTTGCAGCAAAACACGAAACATTTGCTAGAAATAAATTTATTAATTGTATTTAAATTAATACACTGCACATTCGCTTACTAAATACAATATGTGATCAATTATGTATAATGACAATTACCAAGTAATATACAACAAAATGTACAACAAATTTCCTATGTATGCTAATAAAGTACAATTCTTTATACAATTTCTTAAATTCGATCAATTAGTTTGCTAATTCATAGTTTGAATATTTCTTATATACACATCTTTGTACTTTACAACGAAATATACAGAGGAAAATTTAATCACGAGGAAAGACAAATTAATTTCCCTTTATTTCGCATAGCGAAGTTTGTAATTTATGGTGATTCGTGTGGGTGTGTACACACACACAATGTTCGTAAGCATAGTAACACGTCATAGACTTATCGCGACACGTTTCATCGGAATTTCAATCCTATCAGGTCTGCAGGAAATGTATTTTTACACAAGAAATCATATTTAACGATAAATCTATGATATGTACGTATGTTTAGTCCTACGCAACATTCTTATTGACAAAGAGAAAAGGCAAGATAGTTTATGCAAACTATCTGCAAATTACATAAAATATTGATGCACTAGCACAAATAATTAATCATTAATTTTGCTAATCTCTGAAAAGTAAACAGAACAGAATTATAACATCGTCAAATATCGCGTGAAAAGACACAATTTATAAATGACCGAAAAAAGATGATTCTGCATTACTCCATTTTTATCACGACTGTATTATACGTGTATTGGCTCTCTGATAACGTTACGGTCCATGCTATCGGAAAGCAGAGACCGTGAAAGAAGTGTCTCTAGAATACATCGGCAGGCATGTAAACATATCTCGCGGTAAAATATTGCTTTTAGATGTGTCGAAAGTGCTCTCTGTATATGAAAAGAAAAATAAGCAAGTTTAACAAATCAATTTGTTTAATTTACACATCTTTAATATTATTATTAAAAAACGTTTCTCTTTCGTAAATCCATTATAAATTAGACATTGTTCTATTGCGATAGACAGGGTCTATGTCTCTTCGAGAATAGAACATAAAAAACTTTTCGACCTATTAACCTCAGTTTTGCGGTTGTTCTCTTTAATGTTTCATAATCTAACGTATCGTATAAGGCGTTTTCGATGTTTTCGCGTTTTGGCTTTTCTTCCATATAACAAAGAAAAGTGTTCCTTCGAATCCTTCGTATATGATCAGCTATATGACTAGCTTGACGATCTCAAAGGCACCTGCTTCTCTGTCACTAATCTTTCATCATCTGCATATGCATCAGAATATAGAAAGATAATAACATAAAGTTGCGAAGGAATTGCAAATTCCATCACAAAACATAATGTAATCCCTGATAGTTCCATGTGAAATTTATTAATATTATTTTTATTCGAGAGTGACGTAAGAGAGCTATGTCGTAAAACATAAACTTAATATCTATAAATACACACATCTATACGCAAACACACACACACACACACACACATTTATGTTTGCATAAAATCCTTTCTTTTCCTTGGTATGGGTAAAGACTGATGGAGTTGCAAGTTCCCGCCAAATCTCAAGACATTATTTATTCGAGTTTATTACGTGTATTAGTCACTTTTGATATACTGTAAAGTTTGTGTATGCATGTGTATGTGTGTCTGTCGTCCATCCCTGTGCTATGTACACAACCTTTCAAATGAAACGAAAATGATTACAAGTTGGCTACTCATGCTATATTCCTAAATTGTACAAGCATGAATAGTCGAAAATAATGTTATTTCATGCAGGAAATGTATTATTTAAATTTATTTTGTACACATTTAAAAAATAAATACACATGAGTAATTATCACATGAAGTTATCAAGTCCTCGGCTTTAAGCCTTTTTTCAATATAATTGGAAATCACGATTTATCTCTCATTTACACGATACAGGACGATATTACTTATATTTTACACAAAATATCTCAAATATTACCTTCCTGAAATCGAGTAGAGCTTCAACGAGTGTTAAAGCCTGTCTTAAAGCTGCCGGAAAATAAGAAATATTTCGTTTTCCTCCTTATAGCTTCCTATACAAGTTGCCCTCATAATATATTGCTAGATGTGGCGTTAAAAGCGTCTATTTTACGCTACTACTGGGACAATTCTTGAGATTATTGACCTTTTTGACAAGACATGAAATGTTATATAAGCCAGTATTTCTCTGCTCATGTATTGTATTTTGGTGTCAATCGAATCAATGCTATCAAGTTTCGTTTATTTACTGTAAAGACTTGCAATGTATACGAAATCGTTCTCGTTTGTAGAAAGGATATAGATAGAGGCAGTGTATCCATTAAATTAATGGAAATATATAGCTAGGCCTCTTCTCTAGAAAGGTCCTTTTCACATCAATATAATGACAATCGGGTATCGTGTTGTAGTAACGCGCTATCGTACTGTCATTAATGTAATTTTCATCTAGATGTCCATCTTACGTTGCGTCCATTTTTCCATACTCGACCTACGATGTCACATCAATACCGCATTCGTGTAGTTCACTGCAACGATATTTCCAGTCACATTATCACGGCACCATACCATGATAATCAGCATGGCCTACAACGCTTTCGGCGTTTGTTTCCTTCTCGATGGATTTTCGCCATCATGTAATTTGGTTGTGTTCGACGATACCGTGCGTGGATCGCGAAAATAAACAGTCTTCTGATCGGCCGAGTTTCTCTCGAGACTCGGCTTGTGGCAGCGCTTAACTTTTTGAGTGTACATTTGTCTTTTGTGCCTTCTTCTTTCGTGCTGCCAGCATATCGTAGAAAGGATTGTGCGATATACTTTGTCTGGAAACAAACAGTAAAACGTTGGAAGAATGATTTCGTCACAATTTTATTTTGCACTTTACTGCAAAAGAATGCAGTAGAGTACAAGTATGTAAAATTACAATTCTTTTTGTCGTTTTAGCTTACCGTACGCATTTGATCCACTCGTCCTTTTCTTCGTCGGTAGCGGCGGACATTCGATATACCGTATGTTTTCCTAATTGGAAATAGTAATCGTAAATCGTAAAATACTCTTCACCGATATTTAAGTTATTGATTTAAATGGAATTTCAAGCTATCTCGCACCTTCGACGACCTTTCCCTCGCTATCAGTCTTGCACGCCTTTATGAACTCCGAACCAGCAGCATACAATTCGAAACAGTGAGGTTTATGCCGGTCTTGAATCTCTCGGACCTGAATATTCTCTAGCGGAATGATACCGCGTGGTTCCTTATCCGTTGTATACTCGAAATAGTATAAACAATTGTCATTCAATATGAACCACCGCCTCTTCCAACTCTTGTAACGACCGCCTGTAACAATAAAATGCGGAGTATATGTAGAATTAAGAACCTATGGTTGTCACAGAGATGTTATTTACCTGCTGTCTCCGTCAGGGCAGCAGAGGAACAAAGTGATACAATATAAGAATAAACGGTCCTCCAACGATAAATATTACAAGGACGATATCGCGCTTCAGCTGTTTTCGTTTTTCGTATTATTTGCAAATTTTTTGGAAAGCGAAACTAAAGGAATACGACGATCATTCCGTGAAGAGAAAGCCTGTCGGGATGCGTCGTAGATGAATGTGCAAAAGTAGTCATTACCTTGCTTCCACAACCAGCCCTCTTTATCAGGATTGAAAAATGTGTGCATCAAGTCGTTGCCATCGTCTTCCGGTATTTTGAAAGGCTCGGTTTTGATGCTCTCGTACAGACTCTGGAAATAGACATTTGACTCGTGGAAATGTGTACTTGCGACCGACGGCGCCAAAGTGTACCTACCACGAGCAGTTCCCGCGGCAGATCCCCGCCATTGTTAATCCCTCGATTCATCGAAATGAATTGATCTACGCTGGGCTTATCCTTAACGCTCGGATTATGCAACGAAGTGTTCAACATGATGATGGCGAAGCTCAGGACGTAGCAAGTGTCCGTATTGGTGAAGATATTTGGGTTTAGCTGGCAGTACCTTTGAGCGAAACACTCCATCATGCGATCGATCTTCTGCGCTTCCCCGGGCAGTCGGAACGACCAGAGGAACTGACGTAGGGCCTGTACCAGTATGAGATCGGTGAAGTCGTGCAACTCGACGAAGGCTCGCAGCACGCGCTCGTTGAAGTCGTGTCGTTCGCCGAGATAGTCGCCGATCGCAGTTTTGTTGAGGCCCTCGCCCTTGTAGAGAAACTGAGCAACGTCCTCCGGCGTCGGTGTCAACAGGTTGTGCTCTATCAGGTACTCGATGCCCTTCTTCGGATCCATATTGAATTTTTTCCGGCCGATCGACATCTGTTTAGCCTTGTTGGACGGTTTAGTCTCGTCGGCCGTAAGTCCGCCGCCCTCCATCGCCTCCATTTCCGCCACAACCTCGCCCAATTCATCTTTCAGTTGCTAAAAACGAATTCTCCTTGAGAATTGCAATAAATTGTCTATTTAGTTAACGTTACTTTCTAATATGGAAACTATATAAACTTGCAATATTGTCAACATTTCAATATATCATTCCTGGCCAAGGAAAAATTGGATCGAGTCGCGACGTTAGTTTCCTTCCCAATTTTTACGTCGGATTATCGCGAAATATGTATAATAATGAAAATTATTGTAGACTATGTACGCGCGGCTTCCTGCTTTGCTCGAATACCGCTCGACACCGTCCGCCTATTTCCCACCGCGCGCGCTTCAGTTCAACGTACATTCCACAAATACCGGTTTGCGGAAGGAGACTCTGGTATCTTTTTCAGGATTTCGCGACGTCAGCAAACGCTAGAGTCATTAGCGAGCGTATATCGCGTAACGTCGCCTAACGATTATTATTACATTGTGTCGGCTCACATGACTGATCGCGATCAATATCCCCCTTCTCCGAGGTCTCCTACATGGAATCAGCTGGAATCTCCTTTTCCACAAAAGCGTTTGAGGAAAAGGGAAGGGCCGACCGGAAGCAGTTGCGTGTCGTTAACCGATCAGATAATAGGTCGCCGCGATAACGACAAGGACAATAACTTAGTCGCTAGTCGGTCCTGAGTACTATTGTCTGTAAGGCAGTGTAAGGCATTTCTTTTGTACTTAGCGGTGTGCATCCGGTCTCACGTCGTCAGCGGCAGGAAGGTCGCTGACGACGCGTGAAAAAACCGGTATGTATGCCCCGTGCACCCACAGAAATTATAACTCGCTCATTGCGCGAGAGAAACTTTCTTTCGGTATACCCTACGCGTATGTATATAGCGTTCTTTCGAAAATCCAAATTCCTTGGCGCGCCCGTCATTCGAAATGACATGGCATCTCGTTTAGGAAACGCTCATTCGTAATATTTACAACGACCTTGGACACTCATATGTAGACGTGTGTGATCGCGTCTAAGCGCTTAGCATTGCTAATTGTCATTGTCGAAGCGAGATACGAGCGGACAATTATACTAGTTGCTATTGGAACTTGCCGTGTTGACCGAGTCATCATTGTGCTTTGCGGCGGAAAAGAAGTGAAAATTCGCTAAGAACAATGCGATTTAAACTTTTTATCGCGGCTCTCTTTAACAGAGTGCAGACACCAATAACGCTGGTGGCATAAGGTGAACTTTTATTTCCAGCGTTACCTCATCTGACCATTTTTTTTCTCGCGCTCCAGTGTTTATAAGAAAAGAGTTTCTGCTTCTGAAATCGTACGTGTGTCCCTTTTGTCCGCCCTCTGTTGCGGAATGATCGCCTTATTCCGTTCTATTTCTGTCGTATGCGTCCTGTACAATCGATCGAAAGTTGAGCGGTACTACTCAACAAACTTCCTTCCCGCGAAATGGGACCGAGTAAAGGGCATTCATTCATACGACTCGTCAAAAGTACAAAAGTACACGGAGATGACTTTACGTGATATCCGTCATTTATAAACGGATGCTATCGTCAAGAAGCTACCGCGCGTTTGCGACACTATGAGTTTTCTTCCCGAAATTACATCGGTGCGTTGTGCTACGTATCAACTTTTAGATGTAATAATTTGTCGTTCACGGCGTCTCCTTAATTTCAACGTTTAAGCATTTAACAGATTATCGGTTAAATGAAGAGCGAAAGTTTCCGTTCCCGTTCGATTAGATGCTACTTTATCCGGCTGGTACCAAGCCAGACGTATGTGCTAGTTTTGCAACCAGTCTGCGTCATAAAAGTCGTACGCGAACAAACTGCATGCCTGCGCGGTGATTTAGCGCTACATTAGGCCGAGCGTTGTCTCGAAAACTAATTATGTTTTACGGACACATGTATCTATACAACGCTTATCAAACTCGTTCTTCGTATCGTGCTTCCGTCGCCACTAATAGAAGCTCGAAATGCTGTGCTGTAAACACATTTTTGGAAGACAATACGGCGGACTGCGCTTGTTAATTGAATGGCCATTTAAACGGGAAATAACCATACGTATAATATAAAGGAATACAACTATTTGTTCAAAATATAATATCGCAACGAAAAATCATTTTGCCAGAATCTGAAAGAGACTAACGTTCCAACGTGGTACTGGATTTTAATGATAACTACAACATGTATGTATATATTTGTACGTGCGTGTTTGATAGTTTAATACCTTTTCCGTGCAAAGGCAATATAATCGTGTTATGGACCACATCGTGTTGCGCGAGATACGAAAATATGCCCTCGGCTTTTATTTCGATATACCTACATTTTTTTTACCTACAGTGTGATAAAGACACTTTTTCTTATTACAATATTACACGTGTACATACGCATATGAAAATGTTTCGTAGCAAAGGTTTTAACACACTTTTAAACATTTACGAAATTCATCGTAAAATAATCCAATATTTTGTGAAATGGTATGGTCAAAGCTCAGAGGCCAAATGATAATCCGCTTTTAGTCAACCGACAACGTAATATTCATTTTGTTATTTTTGACTAGCCATGATTAACATGATATAAAGAAATTTATCATTCGTTCTCTCTCTCTCTCTCTTTAAGAAGAGCACGGTTTGTAGATACGAGTGCAAGTTGTAAGCGGGAATGGTCAGACCAGTTGAGAATCTCCGAGTCGAAGAAGACTGAGCGTTTGGCTATAATCCAGGAGTTACGAATTCGCGGAAGAAAGGCACGCGTGCAAGTGCTTGGAGTTTTCTCGTCACTTGGGTGTAACGGACGATGACTGGAACTTTTAAGATTTCACGATGCAGAAAGCCATTATCCACTTATACTGCGTCTTTGCCTGATTACTATAAAAGAGCACGAAACAGAGACATGCAAATGTGTGAATCACGTGTTGAAAGGAGTTTTCAACAATATATTGAAATGAGGTAGGTGCGAGCGACGTGTCGCGAATCATTTAATCGGGCGTTACATCGGAGGAAATAACTTTAACACGTTTCATCACGTTGAGCGAACGGCACCGATAAACTAGACAGACTCATTCTTACTTATCTCGTTTTATTTACGATTCGCGTAAGCATTTAGTCGATTACTGACCTGCCCTTTTTCTTAACAGCACGCTCGCGGGAATATATGGGTCGGCTCGGTCAAACTCTCCTCGTTCATCGTACGAGGATTATATTTATCTCTCTTAGCGGGTTATACACCTCGGGTGAAAGATGTGTCAAAGTAGGCTATTTAAATGTAGCGTTACGCGCTACTTATCGATCTACTTTCGCTCCACATGACCGTACGCGTGTCATCGTTACGTTGAAATGATCGGATCTATCAATGAGCCAGCTAATCTCTTTTATCATGGGGTAAAGGCAGGTAGGCTAAGAGGGGGACGCTCGACGGACGGGATTCGATTCATTGCTTTTCAGACGACGTGATATAACTGCCCAGCCCGAGTAATTGTTGACGTAACATCCTCGCAAGATAAATCGCGCCGTCGAGAGAGGCAGACGATTTTGTCGCGCACGACATGGCGCGGAGAGTCGAACGCGAACGTTCGTCTCGGTTCCTTCTATAAATACGTCTCCGATCTTGGAGTCGTACCGCGGCGCGACATTACCTCGGTGAGAGAGAATTTCTTTACGTTAGAAAGATATCTCTTTCGCTGTCGCACAATCGCACGGTCGCTGTCACTCGTCAATGGCGATCGGCAGATCGACGCCAGATCAACGTCCATCTCTCTCTCATTTCCTGAAAACCTCATGTCCAAGCCTTTGATTTTGCTGAATTTAAGGTAAATTAGTAGTCGAGCAAATTGGAATGGGTTTGCTCCGAGACGAGCATTCGACACGACGCAGTTGAGCCGCGAACGATAGATCTAGAAATAAATCTGGCGAGTGGCTCCGGCTCGACCTTGAAGGATGTCTCGCGGTACTTTAGCGTATGGCGCCTGATGGACCGAGTTCTCGGTTACTTCTCGGTCGTGACTAGGAAGTAATCTAGCAAGTACGATCGCGAATCGTCGACTGACCGTGGTGGACAAGACGCTGAGGTCCCAGGCGCTCTTGGCTTGCTTCTGACAGTTCTTTTTCCTCTTGCCGGGTCTCCGCAAACTGGAGAACCATCCGGCCGCGATAGCGACGGCGCTGACGTCTCGTCGTCCGCCCGGTCCGCCATCCGGCTGGGTGCCAGCCGCACCACCACTATTAGAGTCTCGTACCTCGTCGAGAGCGTCCACCGATCTGCCGGTGAAGATCATTCTCGGTAGCACTCCGGCTCTCCTCACTTTGCACCTTTTGTCTTCCCGGCCGTGCAACGACACCGCGTCCAACGCTCGTCTTCACCACAGTCCTCGTCGCGATCAAACGGCATGGTTCGCGCCGAACGTTCCGACGAGAGAAGACGAAATAGACGAGGTACAAAGGTCGCGGGGCACACAGAGATGATCGGAACGACCCGCACGCACTTTTCCTACGTTTCTTCCAATTACAACGCTCTCTCTTTCTTTCGGCTTTCTTTCTCCCATCCGCTCTCGAAGAAATGGTGAGAAAGTCAAGCCGCAAACCGCATGACACTACTCTGGCAGCCCCGTCGGCCACCGTCACGCGACTGACGCGACTGACGCGACTGCGGGCTGTCCGCCGCTCCAACCGCTCCAAGCTCCAACTCCGACACTTCACAACTTCTGGCGGCCGCTTCTCCCGAGCTGGCGAACACCCGTTCCGCACGCTGGCGCCTCGCTGCGGCCGCAATTAACACTCCCGTACAAATGTTTGCGATCATCGTACACACGCATGCTTCCAACAAGTGTCTCCCGTGTGTAACGCCTTGGTGGGATTATCAAAGATCCGATCGAGTCTGACATTTGGCAATTTCGCTCGAATGACTCACTGTCGAATGATTCCACACAACCACACTCGCGTATCATTACGTGCGTTTCATCAAAGAGCGACGCTAGCCCGTCACTTTCGCGTTACTACGAAACAGATGTGTCAGCTAATAGTCGGCTGCGCGTTTGCTTCCTGTTTGGGAAATTACTCGTATCGCGCATGATTTGTCATATACACGTCATCCTGTGATAACAATTATAGTATCGCTTATGATAAGAGAGAAAAAAACGTTACTTTCAGTATCCTAACGTACAATACTACTTTCAGCTTGAATAAACGCACTTGGCGCCAACGATCGCAGCCGATACGAAGAGAAAGGGATCTCGACATATTTCCAGTAACGATTGTCGTGGTGTCTGGAACGTCTAATCCGCACAATTCGCACTTTCTACGTATCCCGCGAGCGACGCCAAGTTAATTGCACGCACAGTAGTCTGTTGGTTCGTCATCGGTTTACAAATGCAAATCTAACGAATTAACGCAGGTAAATGCCATTAGATAAAAACTGCTAATCGTTTCACCTGTTGACGTCTGCTTCGCACACCGAGCGCTAGACAATCCAACAAACACAACCAGCGTGTCCTGCGCAATCTGTCTCGAAACGTGTACGAGTTTCGTGTCATTAACGAGAAAAATTACGGTACGATATCGCTCACGCTCGTGGCAAGGTGGTAAGTATTCGACGGACGCGACGACTTTGACGCTCTCTCTGTTACGATTCTGTGTTTTGATACCCCACGGGAGAGACTTTCGAGAGAAGCAACGAGCGCATTATTCCAACTTTGAACAGAATAGAACACGGAAACGACAATTTCATACGAGATGCAGCGGGACGCGTCGTGACTTTTTTCTTAAAAAAAAAAGTCCACGAGGTCGCGACGCGTGACGTCTTATTTCGTTAAACACAGATACAAACTCACAAACAGATGAGTAAGCGGCATTGCTATCAGCCTTTGCGGAAATAGTCTTATCGTAACAACATCCTCACATTTTTCTGCCCGTGCAGATACGTGTTAGATCCAGTCGTCGTCATTTACTTGCTCGTTATTAATCATCATTAATCACACAGCGCGACAAAGCACATGGATTTTTTTTACAAAATACATTTATGGGATTTCTCCCCGTTTGATCATATCGGCATTTCCAAAACTTATATATATATTTGCGTAACTGGTTTTTTTTCATGCAATTTCTTGGTAAACGGACTATTTCCTCAAATCATCAAATCGTATAAAATAATAAAACGTATGTGGAAATGAAAGAGAGAGATTTCTTCTCATTTTTTTTCGATCGATAAAATCGATAAAACAGACTTATTCGGTATCATCACTCGTCTACGATAAACTCTGACAATTAGCGAATGCGTCATTTTGATTTGCGTATAAAGTGACATCATTTCCGACCCGTAGATAAGACGTTTCGAATTCCATGTCTCTCTCTCTCTTTCTCTCACATCAGACTAAAATATATCTTTCCGCATACCTTTACAGGTATAAATACTAAGCGAGACTCGAAAGCAGGTAAAAAGTAGAAAATACTCACTTGTATCTCGCGCAGCAATTCCGTTTTCTTTCGCCTTATATCTATCAGGATCTTCTGTTGCTCCGGAGTCAATTCTACGATGATAAAATAACGATGAAATTACAAGTATCGATTGACGCGTCGAAAGACGCGTGTAGAGACTAGACGAGAAGGGGACGCATAATCGTTGAAAGGAAGGGATGATTACGGATCGGAATGTCGTGTCCCCGTTGCGAAGGAGACCTCGTTAGCAGCAATTTACGGGGAAGGTCTGAAAATAGGGCTTTGAAATGAAGGCTGCATATAGGCTGCGTAACGGTGTCGCGTAGTCGCTTGACGTGCCAGCTAGTCGGGCGAAATGGCATTTCCCTCGTAGTCGGAAGAGAACTCTAATTTGGTTAGCGCTGGGGGTTAGGAGGGGAGGGAACGATTAAAACTCGAGACGCGCGACGGCCGTAACGGTTCTACTTGCATGTTGAGCGCCTGCTCTTTGCTGAAAATGTCATTTCCTAATGGAGAGAATCTCTTTCGGACAGTACAAGATGTTGGGATCGACCGAACGATAAGGAGGGGGAAAAAAGGTCCGGTGCGCATCGATCCTCCCCGCATCGGACTAATTGGGATTTGGGGCCTGGGGGGGGCTTTGCCCGTGACTGGCCGTGGCGCGAGGAAATTGGAGGAAACTCGCTCCGTTTTGTTTACTACGCGTACGTAGTATGGCCGTGTATCACGGAGCAAGCACTACGCAGGAGCAAGAGAGCGCGTGCGCTCCCTCTCGCTCCCAAGTTGGAATTTGTCGAGGAATCTCTTACCCGTCGCTCCGAACTGGTCGATTTGATGATCGCCAGAATTCATTCCTACGCTCCCCAGACCGTCCAAAGGTTGCCACATCTCCGAAAAACAGCACCTTTCGGACTTGCACTCGCGCACCGAGTCACTTCACTCGAGCGGCTCCATTTTCACGAGACTGACCGTCTAGCACCACCTGGTCCCACCGAGGGAACTAACCTTCATCTCGATCATCTCGCTCATCTCGATATCTCGATATCTCGAGGCATCAGCGCCATCTCTCGTTCCGCTCGAGACTCGAGATTCACTCAGTCGGTACGATGCTATTATCGCGCTCGAGCGATCTCTCGCGCGACCGAATTTAAATTAATGCCAAGCTACGAGCTGCTAATTATTCTGGAAATAGAGATGACGGAAGTAGAAAGGAGATAGAAAAACAAGTGGCTAACCAAGCCCCTTCTCCACGAAAGCAAGTATTTCACCGCGTGAAATATACAACTCTATTATAATTTGCTTTCAAGATGTTATCTCGATCCCTCGCTCTTTCCGCCACGGCTAGCTGCTGTTGTGACTGTCGATGATAACTCGCAGACTTGTGACGAGACCTTTCGACGATGAGGTATCTCTCTTGGCGCGCTTCGCTTTTTCTGCCAGGGGTCGGAAGGTCAGATTCGGCGTATAATCGTCCGCGTTCTCGTATGCAGACGATTATACGCCGCGAGTGAAATTGCACTTACATCACTGCCAATCACTGGCAGTAACAAGAGTAATTACAATTGGGCGATCGATGAATGTCAAGATTAGCTCATGCTCGGATTAGCTATCGTTTCTCCGATGGTGAACCTCGGCTTCAGCTTTGTCCTCGCGACACTCTCGGTACCTCTTCTTCTTATCGCGTACGTAGGTAATTATTCCAAATATATTTCCCGTGTTATTCAATTCATTCGTACCTCCAACTAATATTTTCAAGTGGTCACGTGGACGCGAAAATGTTGGGTACGTTTCGTCAAGTGGAAACATCCGAGTTACGTTGTTGTGGAGGACAACAGCATTCGAAGCATCTTGGACCAGGGACGCAATCACGTGAGTATCGAGTGCAGTTGACCGGGCTTGATCTCTTACTTACTTACTAAGCCGATCTAACCGTCAGGGCATATGCACCCTTCTCGTGCAAGGACGCGCGATCGTCAAGGGCGTGAGAAATCACCTGGCGCATCTCACCTCCACGAGAAAATTGCTGCGATCGGCCCTCTTTGCGCGGTGGGGCGTATACGTGTGGAAAGAGCTCGATTGCTTCTCCGTCGACGGCCACCTCGTCGATTCTCCCTCTTCCTTCCGAGGTCGCCCCATCACCGAGAACAATATACAGGTCGGCGCCTCATCCGCCTCATCCGCCTCATTCGCTCTTGCCCCTTAACGTAGAGGCTTGTTTTGCCGTAGGATTACATAAGCGACGTCACGTCGAAATTCCTCCCGAGGAAATTGCCGCCTTGGCAGGTCTACCTAGTCAACTGCTTGGTGGGAGGAGAGGAACGTCAGATATGCCTCGTGCGAGCGCATCACTTGCTCCTGCGCCAGGAGCATCTTACCTTGGCGGATTTCTTGCCGTTCAAGTACTCGACCGACAACTGGACTTGTCAAGAGAGCGATTCACCCTTTACGAATCTCTACGCCCAACCGTCCGCCCTGCCGCGTCTCCGCCAGATGCTCATCGAGAGCTTCAGCAACTATTGGAACGATTTCCTTTACAATAACGATCCCACCGAGCGGCCGGAGATCCTAAAGAGGCGCACGGGGATATTTCAATGCGTCAAGATCGCGACGATAGTGCTGATTTGCACCCTGAAAGAGCTCGCCAGGTATTCCACTCGTTTGCTATTTCCAGTTTGTCAATTGGCAAAGACACGGTATGTAACTCTCGGTTTCTCTCCTCGCGATCAGACAATGCCGAAAGTCGGAAGGACTGACGCGAGGCTTCCTGGGGCTCCTGTCGATCCTCCGACGCGAGTCGAGCAAGAGAAATTTCAATTCCCGCTTGATATTCGACTCGATTGCAAAATCCTTCAACCCGATCGGCATTTTCTACACGTGCGTCGCTCTCTCCTGGTACGTTGTCATCGCGTCGCTTCTAAAGACGCCTCTCCTGCTCCTTCGAGAATTGCGAGCTTTACAATCCCAACACAGACATTGCTATCCGGACACCTTGACGTACACGCTCTCCTGTTACCTTCCACTGGCCTTCCAAGCGATTCGGGAGGCGGTATCCATTAGCTGGATAGCCGTAACTGCGCCCAAAATCATCATCGAGGAGCTCTTCTTTAAGCATCCGCAATCGAATCGGCTGCAAACCATCTCACCGTGCGGTAGGAAGGTGGTCGCTTGGTCGGATGAGGTCGACGTCGAGCTCGTACGTAAGATCGCTAACGTCACTGGCGCGACAGAGACGGAGATTCTCTTAGCAGCTACCGTGGACGCCCTCAAGGAATATTTTAGGCACTCGGCCCTCGACGTCCCGGACGATGTACTCGCGACAGTCAAGTACGTGAGTCAGCGAGCGGTCTTTGTTCGAAATCACGAGGCCAGGGGCATTCTCTGTATCGCATTGCCCACCCGGACGCCCTTGTTCCACGACGATCTCATTGAGATACTGCAGGTATACCCAGCACTGTGTATGCCCAGTAAACGCCAACACCGATATTAATGTAATGTTAATTGGCCTTTACTGGGTTTACCGCGTTTACCGCGATACATAATTGATACATCATCCTCCAACGCGTCGCCTGCCGTTATTCCCCAAGGTTATTCAACGAAACGTGCAGGATGCCAGATCCCAGCAGAGCGCAATTTACGCAATCACGGCAGCGGAAACGTCCTGCGGATTTATTTCATCCTGCGTACCGTCCATCGTTTTGAAATTACTTTTAAATCAACTGTCGAAACGATACTCTCTATGTTTAACGCACGTCGACGGAGATTTACCTGTGGAGGGCATAGACGGAGCCGTCTATTGGCGACCACCGCAAGGAAACTGCAGTACATTTATCTGCTTTTATTACCTTCCCGTCTCTCTTTATTTATCCAAACATATCGTAACGTCTATCTATTATGCTTTTAGACATGTCTATGACTCTGCACAGGCATGGAAACGGAGTACGCCTTGGTATAATGGCGGACGCCTTGATCGGCCCTCAGCATTTTATCGTTGCGAGAACGTTCCCGAGAAGTGTACGAAATCTCGCCGGCGTTTTAGGCGTCCCGAGAGCGCCCAGCCGAAGTCCAAGCCCTAATCTACTCAATCCGACTACGTCTCCTGGATACTGATACAATGAGATATTTTTAAAAAGGAACGCGACTGCGTAATTGTATGCTCGAGAGCGGGGGTTGACGTAAACCGTCAATTATTACATAATAATTCCATATTCAAAGACATTGGTTTTTCCCTTTTTCTCGCGTACCCGAGGTACCTGAGCGACACTGTGGATCGAATGGGACGCATATTTACATACCGTTCAAACAGATACATATATTTTATGTTACGTAACTGCAATGACATGATTGAACAAACAATTTAATCAAATAAATTAGACGCATCAGTGTCTTAGTTTACACTTTCTAACAAATACTAATATGTTGTTATTTAATTGACTACCTACTTGACTTTAATCTTTGGATTAATGATATTAACAATAAAGAAGTAACTACTGATCTTTCGACGAAAGAAGAGTCATTCAGGGGGCGTGACAACTCGACATGGCTAGGGTAAGGGCATCGCTTGCCATTTTGGTTATATACAGATGTTACTCTTATTTTTGTAAAACAATGTAAATGTTGACTGTGTCCAAATGTATTTAAATATTTCAGATTAGATCGAACGAGAGTATATTTTTCTACATACACGCCCCCGAATGTTTTTCTCGTTGTTACAAAATATATCCTTTATTGGACTTGTAAATTTTGTTTTATAACAAGACCGAACCTTTGTAAGCTCTCTCTCTCGCGTGTTTGCAAATATTCTCTACTTGCTCGTACATTTTATTTACTTTTATTCAATCCAGTTATTTAAATTAAATCTATCAAAATTTGTAGAGGTGCGTTATATAAACGTTGTATACGGACGGATTCGTACGAATTAATACACCAACGATTTTGAACCAACGTTGTAATTATTATCGTGTAGAATTTACTACACGACTAAGTACGTGTGAATCACACTCGCTGGAAAGCAGTAAATTAAACATTGTTCGTTACAAGTACATCGTGCGACTCTAGATATATAAACTACATAATTGCATCACTATAAAACACAGTGGGATTATTCGTTCGAGTAAAGTTCTTTTAGAATGTTGATTAATTTCTTCTATTTGACGGCAGCGCGTGCGTGGCACACAAGTTGTAAAGGTGACGTGTATATCTTTTTTATGCCGAACAATCATCGCCATTCGTTCGTTCCATCTCGATCGGCCCTTTACCGAAAATCTTACGGTTTCTCGTACATGGTATAATACCCACCAAGATTCCAGAGACAATGATCCAACCACCGGCCATAAAGAAGGAAAGATCCCAAGAATCTGTCACGTCAAATAACCACCCAGCCAACGGAGGTCCCAAAAGATTCCCAATTCCTTGACACAGTAAGCTAAGACCGTAAGCGGTAGTGAATCTTTCCAGAGGAATAAGTTCGACTAATATAACAGGGGTGAAACTGAAAGTACTGGCAAAGAAAAGACCGAAAGCTGCCGAGGTTATCAATAGAAAGACATAATGGCGAGTGAATATGGACATCAATATGGTAGCCACTCCACAGGCGACCAGGCAGCAAGCATACGTTTTACTGACATTCATCCAGGGTTGATCGCCAGCCCAACCTAGAACAACCTACAAGAGGAAGAAGAAAAAGAGACGGTAGTAATGGAATTGGCATTATTCATTAAAGTAAAGTTTGAGATTACCATTCCGATGGTATTGGTTATTCCGATGGTACCGAGAAGATAAGCGGCATGAGACTCCTCGTAACCGTTTCTAGTCAGATGCTCCGCCAGGTAAAAGTACGGTATGATGAACCAGGTGAACAGCAATATCGTCGACAGTGACATGAGTAGGAAGTGCAATTCGAAAAACATGGAGAAATCCAACATACTCTTCAATAAATCTACCAGTTCGGCATACCATTTCTGTGAAGGCAAAAATAAAAAATGAGAGAAAAAAGGTGACACATTTTTGCTTCTCTTAACCACCGCGAAGAGCCTGTGAGATACCTGTTCGTTCTCCTTGGCCAACGTGGTCATGCTGTTTCTATAGATATCGGGACAGCTGCTCGCTCTCAATCTGTATTTGTGCAGATTTAGAGCAGCTCCGCGATACATGACCGAATTTCTGTGTACCCTAATATCCTTGAAATAATGGGTATTGGTGCTAAATTGTCGTCTGAGCCACGGTATGGAGTCTGTCCTGATGACATTGGCTCGTGGCTCGGAGTAGCGTTTAGACATTCTTTTTTCGGTCGGCGCGACCTAGCAAGAAAGTGATATTTAAGCTTGTATATGCGCTTTAGTGTCAAGAACCACTCGTTAATTACCGTAGTATGTGTGACTTGCTTCGCTAACAAGGGGTTAGTCTCCTCTATCTCTTTCCTGGACATTTTTCTGTTGCAAACGAGTTTCGTCGGGGCGTGAATAGGGGGGGAGTCTTTCCTCTGTTCGGTGATTGCTTTCGATTCCGTAGCTCGTTTAAGCCTTTATATAAAATATATATTAGAATGTATAATTTGGTGAAAGCGTGTGTATGCGAGTTAAGATTAAAAGTAAAAGCCGCATTGTAACTGTGCGTAGCAAATTAACCTCATTGACATGGTGACGCCGGTTTTATTACAAATCTCCCCCGTCGAGTCTTGCAGCTGCTTATCGGATGAGCTTCTGCACAAGAGGAGGCTGGGATAATTCTCCAAAATGACAGTGTACAGTCTAGAATTGGACAGTAATAACTCCAATACTTCCAAAGGCACCTGGAATCTCATATTGAAATTTATTCATTTATAGAAAACTGGCGAAACGCGCGGAGAGCGTTAAAGCTTTGAGGTATGCGTACTTTCATCGCATTCATCGTGGTCCCTCTTTCCCTCTCTCTCTCTCTCCCTCTCCCTCTCTCTCACCTTTTCGCTCCGCTTTACAAAAGTTGGCAGATTAACTACACTCGTTGTCTGCCTCTTCGCACCGTCGACCGTTTTGCTCGTGAGATTGAGATTTTGTAAGACATATTCAGGCGTGTGATCGCTTCTAACGAGCAGCTTTCTGAGCTCCTCGATGCCTGGAAATTCGTCGAGTAAACTTCCGTCCGGGCGGCCGTGCGACTTCTTGAGCGGAGCCTGATCCTGTTTGCGTTGTTCCAGAATCCACCATTCCGGATCTCTCATAACGGTACCGGCGACGATCATGTTGAAGAAAGTGCCTGCCAGGAGCAAGCAAGCGCCTCGCCAGCCGTATTCCTCGATTAAGTACGTTGTCATGGGAGCGTATACCATGGTGCCGATGCCGGTGCCGCACGCCCCGAGACCCACGGCCAGGGTGCGCTTCTTGTCGAACCAAAAGGCGATGCTTACAACCGCGGTGACGTAGCACAAGCCGAGACCGAGACCGGCGATCACGCCGAAGGTCAGGTACATTAGCTCGATGGTGTTACTGAAGACGCTCAGGATAAAGCCGAGCCCTGATATCAGGCCGCCGGCGATGGTCATGTTCCGGCATCCGTAACGGTCGACAAGAGCGGACATGATCGGTCCGGATAGAAGAGGCACGGCCATGAAGAGCGAGCCGATCCAGGCGGTCTTGGACTTGGAGGCGCCAAATTCGTCGAGGAACTTGATATAGAGCAGGCCGAAGCTGAACGAGACACCGTCGGCTATCATGGAGATGACGAGGGAGGCCAGAACGACCACCCAGCCCCAACCACCGTCGGGCACCTTGGGCTTCTCGCGCTTCGCCTCCCCCCCGGACCAATCCAATTGCTCTCGCTCCGATGACACGCTCAAAGAATCGATCGAGTCCTTGATGCCTCGCCTCGTCGTGTCACTCTTGGTCTCGGCCGGCTGCGGATCGATCGAACCCAAAGCTTTCGAGCTGACGTCGTCAGGATCGACGCTTTCGCGAAGGGAGCTCAAACAGATGGTAGGACTTCCGTTTCGCCAGCCGACCAACGGCGCCCTGCTGTCCGGTTGCCGGTGGTTCCTCTTCGCGTACGAGTCTTCCCTTCCGATCGGTACGCTTCCGTCGTTATTGTTATCGTGCTTTATATCATCTCCACCCTTTCTTCCGCGGTCGCTCTCGCGATTCTCGCATTCCGTTTCAATTCCTCGCAGGACGGCATCCTTCCTGCTGACCATAGTTTCTCTAAATGTAGGTAATGGCCGAGTGAACCCAACGCCGCCGCCAGCCCTTCAGCCCTTGAAACTCGGTGGGAAGATAACCACCTTGTCCTCCGGTTACCATATGGATCCTTGGGACGATCTTGGACGATTCGCGGAAAGTTGACCGCGCCGAATTGCGCGGCATGCACGCACCGTCGAGTCGCTCGTCCTGTCGAACAATCGTTTTCACTCGTATTAGCTGCATATATAATAATAGGAGTAAAATGGAAAAACTCGCCAGTCGGCTTGTCCGATCGACCGAGGGACGCGCGTAATAACAGCATCGATCGTCCTGAGAGATATTCATTAAATGAGTAACGTCGCGACAACAAAACATTTAAATTACAACGCTGACCGATCCAATCTGCCGCGTTCCATCCATCGCTATACGAGTCCCGATAACGTTACGTTCCATTCTTACGATCGAACAATAAGCGTGTGGTCTCGTTTCTCACTTTACAATATTTTTCATTGTCACGTGACGAAATAAAGCGACGATCGCCCAAGTGCTTACTCGCGTTGCTGTAATTTATATATGCATTTAGCAGTTGTATGAATAGCTATTCTTCGGGAGTATTATTACAATTAGAAATCCGGGGCATATTCGTAAGAAACATTTCTAGTAGTGCCAATCGAATGTTGTACCAACACAAGATAAATATATATATGAAATATTCTGAAAATGTTCGTAGGAATGCCTCGTGCTGGTATGCAGATTGTGGTCAGCGGTTTGCCCCTCGATTCTCACTATCTTTATGGTTTAAAAATGGCAGAAATATTAGAGAAAGATTATAGAAAGATTAAGATATTTATCATGTAAAGCTGATGATTCGGAAGCTTTCGAAAGTAGACGCATTTATTATTAGAAGTCGCTCGTCAGACAGTCTAATAATACTTTGGTATTGCACAACTATCGACTTGCGAGGTAAATTGCAAAATTTTTGGCAATCGCCAGTGATATGTCCAAGTCCAAGTTGTTGTAATGAAATAAAAGTCTGCCTCGGACTCGTGAAAAACATTATCGAGTGCATTAATTCTCTTTCAAGAATGTCCTAGGCATCTGCTTATCTCGGTCATCTCAGAATGACGCATCCCGATAGTTGTACGAGTCAATATTTGATATGGGCCAGAGACACGTAGAAACAATATCGGTACATAATAAAAAATTTATCGCGCAAAAATGTTTAAAGAAAGGATCGCTCACTGTCACCGTTATGGATTTTATGATTATACTTATCGCCGTATGCGCACGTGTATATCTATGTAACGAAGAGAGGCAGATAAACGTATCCAGCAAACGAGTTGAGCACACGCGAATGTATACTTAATAGCACTGGATTATATAATATAGTTGATGGATTATAAACATAAGATGAATTATGCTTGTCCGATATCGCCTACCAAAATGTTTGTTTTATTTCTTATGTAGACGCTTGAGTAAATACAAGCGGAAAAGGTTGGAAAATAAGTAGTTGGAGTAATACAAGAGTCGCCAGAGGGGTGTCATCACCATGGAGACCGACTGGTCGATTTCTCTGCGCGAAAATGTCCGTTTCTACCAAAATCTATGTAGAGTAAATTTCCGATAAGCTCAATTTTGTATATCAACATCAAGACGTGTAGACAATAACTAGCGTTTTTCCAATTCAACACAAGTTTCGCTCGAGAGAAGGTGGATAATTATTTCGATATGTAGTGGAGATATACATCGATGCGCACTCGACCAGGATTACAATGCATCTAGACACTCGAAACAGTAAAATCTTATCGTTAATTTAAGTACATGTATTATCTTAATCGTTCTTTAATAAAAAAAATGCCATTTCAATGCTGTAAGATGTAAGATTTCGTGAAAAATGTGTCCTGCGACGTTGGAAGATTTTGGAAATTTCCACGGAATAAAAGACGTAATTATCGATAATTTATTATCTAAAGCTGCATCGATGCGAATGTTAAACTATTTCCGGGTTAACACAATACAATATATCGTTCGGAAGAGCGATAAGTGCTCGCAGACGTATTTTCGACGGTGACAAGCTAAACGGCTAAACGGCGTGACAGAGCCAAGGGCGTTTCATACGCCCGTTTCGATGTATTCCTTCGGAATAATGTAGAATATCGAGATGTTTCAAGTGGACAAAGGGTTTATAAGAATGGACGAATGGAAGGAGGATGTGTTATCTTTTTGCTTGGAGTGGCGAAAAAAGAAGTAAAGCAAAGAGAGAATTAGAATATGCGCTTACCAACAACGAGCTCGCGCAGATTGTTATAGCCGAGGACTTGGAGTGGCCCAGCGCGACACTCTTGTTGGGACAAAAGGTTTAGCGTCTCTTAATTGTCGCAAGAGACAATTTGGCTACACTTTTCCCTCCGCGACGATCGGTGCGAATGACTGCCTCGGTTGAGGACACCCGGTACACTGCGCGGCGGCGGCGGCAGCGGCGGCGGCGACGGCGACGGCGACGGCGACGGCGGCGCGCGCGGTTCAGGAGCCTCGAAATCCACGTCATGAGAAAGGTTCTCTCGCCGCCGCACCTGACCTGAACGGAGCACGCGTGTCGGCCTCATCGCGTTCCGCCTCGCCGCGCCTAAGTCACCGTCCCACCATTTCCCAGTCTTCCCAGTCAGAAACTCAGGCCCAGCTGCGCTGCCGAGTCTAACAATAAATAAGTCAACCTTCGCCTTCGCCCCACGAGTCGCCTTTGACTTGCCAATCATTTCCAATCTCAGTGTCAAAAACGCGGTGTCGGCAATAAATTGATAAACCACGCGATATATCTCTATTACGTCTATGTTTATATACGGCAGACACGAGTTTCGATGTCCAATCATTTTTCATTATTTCACAAACTTTGCCGAGTTATACATATGTCGACGCGCTCTCGCGGCATTCCAGGTACGTTTTGCCGGATAATTAGAGCCTCCTTATAATCTTATCGATAAAATCTCTCATGCGAGTGGGAAAAAAAAGCGCGCAAATTCTCCCCTTCAGCATTCTCGCTCAAATTTATGGGCGATGAGAATAGCTTTTTATACGAGGGCAAGAATATATTTGAAAATAAATGGTCGATCGATAAAATTATCTCCGTGACGCAACGCGTACGCGAACGCGAGGACCCGACGGACCCGACGACAATTTGCATCTTGGCCTCACTTGGCCTGTCGGTAATTCAGCGAGCCTATAATGTAAAATATTGTAAAATATGCTGCATATCGAATGTCTGAGGTCGTGATAACGAGCAGCGGAATTAGCTAACAATAATCCAAACGTATATAGGTAATAGGTATACTCGTTTCGCCGCCTCGAGCGATCTTTATTGGCTATTACAAAGCTTGAAATCTAGCTCGTACGACTGCAATGTAAGCGAAATAAATAATTGTGAAATAAAGTGCAGTTGAGTATGCGACCGATTCGGTATAGGAATTGGTGTAGCGACTAAGAATTTATATACATACACGCAAGACTATAATGATAGATTCATTCCTTTAATATTTAAGAGTCAACAAGAACGGTTCAAATCGGCAATGGTTTGCGCCAATAGGTATATCGGATCACATTTAGGTGATCACACATCTGGTATATATAAAGATGTCGGATTAGGATTAGGGACGCTAGATCGATATCGTCCAACGATCCAACTATAACGATTACAATTGTGGCAAATATTTTTCAGTAGAATGTTGAATTTCTATACGACATACCAATGTTACATAGATTACCGAACGGTACCCATACAGCACACAAAGTTAAAATAATGTTCCAATGTTCAAGTATAAATACTCTACGTTGAATCTAGGGGATTATTATTTTAGTGGAATAATTCAATTTCAGCACTTGCTTAAGTCTTGCAACAGTTGTAAAAAATATTCTGCTAAACGCGACCAATGCTTTCTGAATGTTGAACATGTTGATTCAACATTTGTGTACTGTACGGGGTAACGTGTGCTCCCTTAAATTTCTACCTTTTTTCCCCCTTTTAATGTTAAATTCTCTTCTACTGGAAGGAATCACTCCGAGATTTTCTTTTCCATCGATATTCTATTAAAAGTCCCTCTTTACGGATCGACTTAACAACTATCGCTCGCTTATAATACTATACCAGTGAAAGTCGTCTCTCGTCAAGTCGGCAACTTGATATCGTAAATATATGAAATACACAATTTTCCTTTCTTCCTTTTTTATATATAGTAAAATATTGCTTTATACTCATTTCGTAGATGCCGTATAAGGCTGCGTACGTACGCCCGATGTATAATGCGGGAGGAGCGTGCATGCTCTCTCCGGGAAAGAAATTATTGCACTCGCATTTAGATTTGGACTTGGCACCGGACACACGCGATTACAAGATCGATTCTAAATCAAACTTACGATCCCGGCTCGCGACAATTACTCGATACTTTCGGCTATCAAATTATACACTCGATCAGTTCGGTACTCTAAGAAAGAATATTCGAAACTCGTTGCTGCCTATAAACCATCTAATTGTTGATTCTTAATTATCTGTAAAAGCAGTAAATATCTTTCGTACTTTGTTTCTCCGTATAAAGGCCTCGTAATGTTTATACGTACACGTGTATTCTTCCTATGGCTATAAGAGATATTTTTGGAATATAAAATTTTCTTCCCGTGGAATCGACAATAATACCTAAAATATCGTAGTTGCGATTTTGACTAGTTTTAAAGAACCTCTATCTCGTACGACGTTGACGGCCACACGGCAAAAGAGGTGTTTGCTTCGCCAAGAGTAACGCGTGTATATCATTTACACGTTCCATTAAAAACCCTCCGGTCCTCCAGGATGACTTAAATTACCGTTACTATATACTTTTCGTCCATTATTCGCTACTGTACACCCGATATCTCGGGGTAAATCGGTGACGTCGTGCATACATCTTTCGAACGAACGAAAGCGACCAGCAACATTGCGTGATTGGTAATTACAAGCTTGACGATTCAGAAAATTTATGTGCGCGCATATTCGCATGTACGTACGCTCTAGTAACGGAGGTAGTGGAGTCTACTTGTAGCTTACTTGAAAATTCATTAAGAGGCAAGTTTACGATCACAGAAATTCTCTACACGTTGAAATTCTCTTCTACGTCTCATAGTTCTCTATCAAACACGCATCGCGCTTTACACGAGAGAGAGAGAGAGAGATGGAGTTGAGTCTGTCCGATCGAAAAGTACAGCATTTAATTCAACTCTTGACAAATTAGTTGGCTGAAATTAGACCTAATTACGAAAAGAGTGATTCGCAAGGACGCGCAAAGGACACGCGTAACGCAAAGACGATTGTAAAAGTTGTTACAAAGGGTATATATGTGATTAATTTACAATATTTTTCGTGTTATCCGGGGGAGAGGGGATAACTTGGCAATTGTACAACTAGCTGTTCTAACTTCAGAATACGATTCGCTCGATGAGGAAATAGCGACTAGCATAGCAAGCATGCATACACGACTCGTACGCGTTTTCTGTGCAACGCACAAACCAGGACACCCCAGATTTGTGCCGATTTCGACCCACTATGTACGCGGAGCACCAATTGCTGGTAGTATCCTGAGATTCGAAATTATATTTATTGTGTTAGTCGTTGCCGTGCGAAAATATATGTATGTATGTACATGTACACGATATCCATATCGAATGGATTCGTTCGTGCAAGATACAATCATCGACGTTAACACGTAGCTCGTACCTCGTAGCGAGCCTTCCGCAGGCCCTCTGAATTTTTTATATATCGCAAGCGGCATCTTCCTAATTTGTACATATGTATAATATATATATATATATATATTACTATGTCGTAATATCGCGCGCTACGCTATTAAAAATATTTAAAAAAAGCTGTACGTGTGTTCTCCTGCGAGTAATTCTTTTTTTGCGCAATATCCAATAGATTAGAAATGACTTGATAACTTTCGCAAAAGCATGATCGACTGATAATATAACTGATAAGAGTTGCAACGCGACCGATGCGACTCTTACCACTGATATTTTACACTTTATATAACGTCCTTCGAGTCGCTCGCATTAGTCATCGCGAAAAGTATCGATAAATCCGCAAGTTATACGATAAACTATAATTAAAACTATATATATAATTACACCACAGCCGGCTCGAGCAACTCGTGAATTGCGTGTCGCTAGTGCGGAATGGACACTACCACGAAATTAAGGGGTGCCTGTGGCAATTTTCGCAATCTGCGTTAAAATTCCTCTGATATCGACTTGTCTCTCTGGCTTGTTTCTTCAATAAATATCGACATATTTACACATTGTTTATCGCATTGAAATCCTTGTCGGTAGTTACCCCCCTGGATTCGTATCGATACTTTCGGTACAAACCGATCAAAGGCATCACTAATAACAATATGCCGCTTAACGCGATGAACAATCCCGCCAAGTAGAAGGACAGGTCGTACGTGCCTGTGATATCGTACAGCCACCCTGAAAAAGAAATGGAGAATTCGCTCGTGTCTCATAATTAAGTTCCACGTCACCGTGCGACACTTACCAGCTAGCGGAGGGCCCATGAGATTGGCGATTCCTTGAACCAGTAACAAAAGACCGTAGGCGTTCGTAAACCTCTCCAAGGTGATGAGCTCGACAAGGATAATGCTGGTGAGACTGTAATTTGCTGCGATGAATAATCCAAAGGCACCAGAGATTGCACATAGAGTGTAATAATCGCTGATAACTATCGGTATCAGAGCGGTAACGGTACCGCAGAGCGCCATGCATACCGCATAGACGATAGACGCGTTCACCCACGCTCTATCGCCGGCCCAACCCAGAAAAATCTGCAAAACAAAGGTCAATTACCAAGAATGCCCATTTATTTATTTACTTCAATATTCTCGCCGTTGCTTACCTCACCGCCCATATTGGCGATGCCGATCACCGAGATCAGAATAGACGCATCCGTCTCGCTAAATCCAACTTCGATCGCATTGTCCGTCAGATAGACGTAAGGCACATCGTACCACGTGTGCAAGAGAAAATTGCTGACAGCGAATAGCAGGAACCTCGGATCGGCAAAGTACGAAAAGTCTAGCATGTCGACGATCAAATCCCAAAATTCCCAAAGTCCAGCGTACCAAACGAGCTTTGTCTTGGCGATCGTAGTCATGGAATTTCTGTAAATGTCCGGGCAGCTCGAAGCTCTCAAACGATATCGATTGATGTTGAGCATGGCGCCTCTGTAAGTCAAGCTATGCCTATGCATTCTGATATCCTTCAAATAGGCGGTTGGCAGCCTTCTCGGTGGTTCCAACGTATTAGAACGCCTCAACGGAATGTCGGAATCGATTTTCTTCAACCACCGTAAATACGCCGGTTCTACCGACTGAGGCGGCTGCTGCTGCTGCTGCTCGCCGTGCAAAATTCGCTTATTCTCCTTATCCTTGCCTTCGGTCGTTGCTCGCAATTCAGCTAATGGACTCGGCGTAGATATAAATCGGGCCGAGGGTGTACTCAGTTGATCGTGCAAGGCTCCAGAATCGCTGAAACTCCTCGACGATATCAACAGACTCGGATAGTTTTGCAAGAGAACGTTGTAAACGGTCTTGTTTGTACTGAGCAGTTCCAGCACCTCCAGAGGTACTCTTTCTCCATTCTTGACAAAGGTAGGCAGATTTACCAGGCTAGAGAATAACTTTTCACCGCTCCCCTCATCGCATCCATCCTGCGGCCGCAGATTCTCAATAATCATCGCATTGGCAGACGCAAAGCCTCGTTTAGAATCACCGTGAGGCGTTTGAGTGGTCGTGTTCGCGGAGCTGGTGGCGGAAAAGGAGTCTGCGCTGGAACTCTGTATCTTAGATCTTTTCTTCTCCCGATTCTTTCTTCTCTCTTGAGTTTTCGCTTTCGCTCTAATGGTAGTCCATTCGAGGTCTCGCATCAGACATCCGCATACAGCGAGATTGGAAAACAATCCTGCCAGAATCAGCGTGGTTCCTCTCCAGCCGTACTCCGCCAAAAGATACTGCGTGACGGGTGCGAAGATAAAAGTTCCGATTCCGCTACCGCATACCGACAGACCGGTTGCGAAAGATCTCTTCTTGTCAAAGTAGTACGCCACGATTACAACCGCCGCAACGAAGCACAAGGACAAGCCGAAACCTGCTACGATGCCGAAGGTGAAGATGAGTACTTCCATCGAGTTCGCATAGGAACTTACAACGAAGCCGACTGTTGCCAGAAAGCTACCGGCCACCGTGACTTTTCTACATCCGTAGCGATCGGTTAAGAAACTTGCCACCGGTCCCGATAACAACGGCATTGCCATAAAGAGACTGCCGATCCACGCCGTCTTGGATTTGCCCCCTCCGAAGTAATTGAGGAATTCAACGTATATTACGCCAAAGGAAAAAGTGATGCCATCCGCGATCAAGTTTACCATAAAGGAGGCCGCTACGACGACCCAGCCCCAACCTCCGTCGGGAGGTCTAGCTTCGCAAAACTGTGCCAAGCTGGAATTGTCTTCGGAGCTGCTCGTGGTAGATGTGGAAATTGACGGGCTTGGATGCGGCCTTTCCTCGGGTGTAGCGTCATGTAGCTGCTGCTTTTGCGACTCTTTGTTGAATTGCACGTGATGCTGTTGCTTGTCCTCCTTCTCGGTACTCTTCTCGGTCGACGAGTCATTCTTGGCTGACAGAATTCTGCTAGGGGACTCGAAAATTGTACCCCTCTCGTTGAAGACGCCCTTCAATTTCTGCGGACTAGATGCATCCTCCTTGTACAGGCTGTTGGGTCTCTTTGGTGAACTCTGCGAGGCTTCTTTCAGCTCTTGACGAGCTTCCCGACGTATCCTTGAGCCTGATTGCTCCGTTGGTTCTTGGCGCGAATTATTCTCCACGAATCTCACCTCGTCTTCCCGTCGCGTATTTTTCAGCGATAATGACTCTGGGTTCTTTCGGGAGCGATTCACGTACTTTGACACCCGAGCCGAATTCGAAACCATCGTCTCTTGGCGAGTGTCGTCATCGCAATCGTTTCCATTATTAACTATACGTGAACTTTGCTTGATAATCTCATCGTCGCTCGTTTCGGCAAACGATCGCCTCGCATTATTGGTTGAGTTTCGCACGTCGAGTCGAATCTGCTTGTTTCCATCGTTAAGCTTGGTCCACTCGGCCATATTGAAGAAACGAAGAATGTATGGGAGATACTTTCGGGATTCACTCTTCTCTCAATCTATCAAAATACTCGCGATCCAATTTTCCTTTCCGTAAAACCGATCCAAAGCTTGCACGTACGATACGCATAGATACACACGACCACGCACACACGCACGCACACGCACACGCACGCACACACGCACACGCACACACACACACACGCACACACACACACACACACACACGATAACAAAAACTCGAGCAACTCTGTGTTTCGCAAGGAAATTTTGGGCGGCCCTTCTCCTCAAATCGAAATCGATTCAATAGAGGTCTAGTTTCGTCCTTGACTTAAACAACGGTAAACAAGGCCACTCGTAGAGCTGCCTGGTGAACTGACGGCGTAACGGTAATAGGGATGCTGACGACCAGGTCGATGTAAAGTTGTCTGGCGATTGATAGTCGGCACCCGGTCGACCATGCAACGGTCCACCACCATTGCAATCGCGGCCCCGGATTCTCCAAGTCCAAGTAGCACTTTGATTATTCGGGACCACCTCCTCCTCCGCGAAACGTTCGTCAACCCAGGCACCCATGCGGCGAAACGTACTGCTTCGGTTCTTGCGTTGTATTCTGCAAGGAAAAAATTGAGATGGACGAGTGAATAAAGGGAGACAAAGAACCGAGTGAGAGGTAGAATAAATTTCGAGTACGAAATGAGGATTATCAAAGGAGAATAGATGGTAGAAAGTTTCCGAAATGTACCATCTGCCATTTAAATCGAACGAAACGATATAACCCGCCGGTAAACCTAAAACGCGAGAGGAGTAATAACAGGATCAAAATGACGCACACAGTCTCTGAAAAAATGTCTCGCTCGGCTATATTTACTCGCTAAAGCAACATTCTCTCGAGCATTATTAGACGTTCCAAGTTCGATGTTTGGCAAAGACACTCGGGGCGCAGTGTGACTCGCTTCTGGCATTTCGTAACCGGCCGAAGTAGCTCGAGTTAGAGTCAGCGATTATAAATGAAGCTCATTGTGTATGAGTTGCTATCAATTTAAGGATTTAACGGTGGCCACGATGATCACGCGTGTATCATACGATCTCTTTTCCTTCTTCTTTTATATCTTCCACCACCAGGCCGATTGTAATTTCTTTTCAAAGTGCGATTGCCAGTATAGGCCAAAATTTCAAGTGCGTGCAGACGTTAAGGGTCAGTGTCGATACACATGGTACGCATGACTTTGGTTGCACGAGAGAGAGAGAGAGAGATCATGTGTTTCCCCTACCAGTGAAACCAGTGAAACCAGTGGAACTTGACCATTCGGTATTACATATGTATCGAACGGTGTATTGCCAATTCAACTTTTTCTTCCTTTCAAACGAATTTTCGAGAAATCTCAATGCTATTTAACATCTTTACAATGCTTTATTATACGTCGAGGAAAATGTATCGAGAAAATGAAGTTTTCAAATTTACTTCATTTTCCAACAATGGCGCCGTGAATTTGGAAACGTCTCTATCACGTTGCGCCTTGTGCTCGTTAATGTTGAAAGAACCAGTTAAATACAACTTGGTACAACTTGTTCCGCGTTTGTCCAAACTACTGGTAGATTTAACGCTGACCTAGATCTTGCCGGATTACTTAACTCTACAATCAGAGGAAGACGATCATTTAACTTTTTGCGTGGAACCTTAACACGCGACCGCCAGTGCTGTGCATTGTGCGCAAATACCCGAAATATATTGAGTCACGGTAGCGCGAGAAGTGAGCAAAGCTGCCAAAAGTTAATTGTAAGCTAATTGTAAATATTTTATACATACAAGTACAAGTATAATACTAGCGTAAGTAGAAATAAGAGGGACGATACGTTCCGAGAACGTAAACACAAGTTAAAGCAATTTTAGTAGAAATTGCCGACGAGATGGAGATTCAAAGAACCATTTGTAAAACACAAATGATAGTAAAATGCATTGTCGGTCGAGTTAGATAAGAAGGCAATTTTTTAGGAAGAAATTTGATAAAATCGCTGTTGTGGATTACATATTGTACTATTTCTTTTATTTGGAAAAATTGAAAAAATTTCCAAGATCTGAAAGAATCTGAAACTTACTCGTTTACTCGGTTCGTACGTACGTACGCAGGGACGGAGAAATAGGCGCCTTTGGCCGACGAATTTTGCGCAATTTTGGCTGCGTGCCCGCGAGCACGGATAAACCAGGGTAAACCAGGGTAAACCAGGGTAAACCAGGGTCGAATATCGTTGTCGCCAATCTCACGCGCGGATTTAACCTGCTGCAAATTGTTTGCCACACTCGTAATATTACGTTACTCTGATCCAACTGTTAATAAAGTGCCCTTATCAATCGCGAAGAATAAACCGCACGAGCGGAAACATATCGCGGACGTAAAAGATAAGATGAATTACTGAGATCGATTTTTATCACTTTTGTCGTCACGTTTGAAGCCACGCGTGTAATGCCCCACGTGTAATGCCGGAACGATCGCACTAAAACTATGTTTAACGCCGAGCCTCGGCAGGATTTATCGTCCAATATTAACTTCCGCGTAACGTTCGATTGTGCGAAAGCATTATGGAGAATATCACGATCGTTCGACGAAGAACCAACTTGGAACCGTGCGCTCATTCACGCCAAGCAGCGATCGTACGTCGAGTATTAGCACTTTCCGCATTAGTAAGCGTTTCTGCGTCCTTTTTGCAGGAGTGATTTTTTTCACTCCCATTTTTTACTGATTGCAGCGAAATTTACCATAACTGTAACCTTGTTGGTAGTTATCGAGTCAACAGATCGATTAAAACCTTTCGTTTCAAAGTCTCTGTTAACACTTTGTTAACTTATTTATAGTTTGAAAAGAGTTGTAACGCGTGGAATATTTTAGAAACTTGACGACAACCGTCAACCAATTCTTCACGTTTACGGATAACCTTTGATAACGTTCATTTCTTTCCATTCGAAATTTACCATCGATGCTACAAGTTCGATGGCACAAATAGAAAAGAAATAATTGACGAACCATAATGGCTGATGCGATCGGTTACTTTGCGTTATCCAAGCTGTTCCATTTTCGTTTAGTGGCACGATCAGTCCAAAAGCGTAAGAAACGTCGCGCTCTAACATTCAACTAATATTGGGAGGTCGCTACCGCTTGGCCTTTGCACGAGGTCGAACACCCGCGTTCGCGAGACGGCGAAATCTCCAGGTCCCGCGAAATCTCATCGCTAGAGAGAGAATGAGAGAGGGAGAGAGGGGGAGGAAGGGAGAGAGAGGGGAGGGAGGGAGAGAGAGAGGAAGGAAGAGGGAGAGAAAGAAAAAGAAAAAGAAAAAGAATGTATGCGTTGTCACGATCGTCGATGGCGACGAACCCGATCCACGAGCGAACCAGTGTGCGATTAGGCGCGTCTGTTCTTGGACGACGCTAACAAGTTAAAAAGTTGCCGCGATTAGCGATGCTCGAGAAAAACAGTCGTCGCGCCGATGGAGATCTCTCTCTCTCTCTCTCAATGATCCGTCACCGCGAAACGATATCTTTCATTTCCGGCTACGTTTCGCGACGCAAAGTTTTCCGCGCACAGATATCAGAGCATTTCTCGGCTGCGAGCTGCGAGCGAGCTGCGAAGCGAAGAGATCTCACACAATCAGACCACCTCGTCCTGTCGCGCGCACAGAAAGATGACCGGGCTAATACTGATAGCTGGTACCCGCTCTCACTGATACATATGACCATTGGCTTCGAACGCCTTTCGTCGTGACGTCACGATGTATGCCGATCTTAAACGCACCGCGTTAAGACGCAAGGAGGGTTTACGCCACACGATACTTAACGCTTTACTTATCTACATCGCCGATTGTCGATTATCGAGAAAACATGTTTCGTTAATGAAATATCAGCTTCGATCGCTAGCATCCTCATTTGCCTTCACTCATAGAGTGAAGCACTGTAATATTCTTCTTGTCCACTTTCAGAAATATTATATTTTACATTTTATACAAGTCGGCATAATGTTTTTTTTTACAAAATTTTACTTTCCGAAACTATCCATTTTCTCTTTCCTTTATTAAAGTTTTGTCTAATAGAGAAAATTACATGTGTACGGGCAACATTATATAATTCTTTTATCCTTTTTTTAAGACAAGAAACAATACGTTGTACGTGTTGTTTCGTTAGAAAGGAAAAAACTTAGTAATAATATCCGTAAATTGTGTGGAGGAAAATTATCTACAATATTCTCATCAAACGATGCTCGAAGACGTTCGTTTCTAGATTCTACTTTTGAAGATGTACCAAAAGTTGTTCAAGTTTCCTATGAAAATTAAACGTTACTTGTAAATAATAAGTTTGCTCAGACGTAAGCAAAGATCAATACATACTGCTATGAAGAGATAGTTGTCACGGCATTGTTCAAATGTACAATTTCTGTTTCTACAATGTTTGTAGAAACAAGCAATCTGCACAAGCAATTTGCATTTGATTACGAGACATGGAAAAAGTCAAATAAAAATGAGCACGAGGGATTCGCGCAATCTTTAAAACGCTTTTCAGTCTACAACGTGGCGACTGCTTACATGTGCGGAAAGCTTATCACACGAGTCGTAGAGTTGTACAGATAAGAGACAGCTTTTTTCTCTCGCGCGTATACGCACTCTACCCCGGACGGCTTTCAATTATATTATAATAATGTGCATCTTACTATTGCTTAGCATGTAAAGCTGGAATCCCTTTTTCTTTCCGATCGAATCATCATAAAGCTCTATAATCGTCATATTACGTAACAATGCATTATTTCCCGAATAACTTATCTTTATTGTTATTTTCGCTGCCATATTCTTGCGATGATGAACTATTTTTTTACGACATCGTAAAAGAAATGAACATTGCGAAAAGTATGTAGAGCCTAGAACTAGTCAAAGATAATAGCATTAAAGTATATCTTATCTCGGTACGTGCCTGTTGTCAGAAAATAATGCAGAAACACTTCTTTTTTTGCTCATCTTTCAATCGATCGAGGATCACACCACACAAATCCGGGAAATTTCCCAAGGACGTGGATTTCCATTTGGCGAGGCAAGAATAATCATCACCCAACTAATTAAAATGTTTATACGGCAAACAAAGGATCGTATAAGGTGTTTATCCTCATAGTAGAAGAATTTTTATACGAGTCGCGGAAAATTTTGCAGGCAAAGATAAACAGCATGAGCAAGCTACTTGAATTCTAAATAGGATATTTTTCCGGGAAACCTTGTAAACGGCAATCGCACGCCTACCTAATAAGGCCGAAAGATACCAATTGTCAATAAATGAGATAATACTCAACGATTCGCAAAATTGTTGAGCTTGATCGCAGATAAAAAATATATCTCTAATTGACAATATGGATGATAATTATGAATTGCAACGCTATCTATCTATCTATCTACGAGTAAAATTGACATTTTTATCGAAAGTGACACAAGAAAGAAACGTTGACGTTAAAGCATTCTTTTCAATACAACTATGATCGTCACTGTTACTCTCCAAGTAGAGCATTGGGAAAAAGAGTGTAACATTAAATGATCGGCGGATCAGCTGGTCGCGTTATCATAACCGCAACGGCTGTTATTGATCCGCACTCCTGCCGCCTGCCGCGCAGACCGCGCAGGCCGCGCGCAGGGCTCGGAAGGCGTCCGCGGTCATGCACCAGCCAGGCACATTGGCTTCTCCGAATGCTACGCATGCTAGAAGGAGACTGCACTCACCGATGTTCACTCTCTCTTTCTTGGAACCGATGCTAAAAAACCGGGGTGAGCCGCATGATACGTGCGTGAAAAGAATCCGCTGCTCGGTCGACAGCCGCGTGAGCCGCAACGATGGGGGGGGGGGGGACTGCTACTCGACGGGTACGATGGTCGCTCAATCCCAAACCCCAAGCCAGTAACGAGGACACCCGCGAGACGACGATCCCTCGCGATTCGGAGATGTCGATCACGAAAGGCGAAAGGCGAAAGGCGAAAGGCGAAAGCCAAGCACGGACGGCACGCACCGGGGCACTGAGATACCTCTCTTGGACTATCGCTTCCGCGCGGTATCGCTCGCGCGCGGCACGAGCCAAGGGTGAATTTTGACCGATGGACTGCGCGCGCACCACCTCGCGCACCCCCTCTCGCTCTCTCTTTACCACATTCTATTTACTTTCATTCACATTACCATTTCTACATTATTACATACATGTATATTTCCATTTGCAATCTATGTGATCAAAGATCGAGATATAACTTATTTATGTATATCGACAGCGAAATTAAGTGGCTTGAATTATCCTCGGGAGGTAATATGGAACATATTCTCCCGTCAGGTATCGACCGCGTTTTCCTTTTGCACGCGCGTCTCGCAAAAGTCGCAAAACGATTCGAGTCCTCGCAAGTCGATATCTCATCGCAAGTATAGTTCACTGTCCACTGACCACGTATTATTACGAGGTATTGTAAAAACATGAAGCCAACGCTTGTGGCCGATGAAATGTTTCCCGAAGGAGCTGGACCTTACGTCGAATTAGAGGAGGTATTGTATACAACTCTGATAAGGTTATGTAACTCGTTCTCAGTCATCTCACGTGGTGAATTTCATTTCAGGTCGGAGGTAGTAGGTTATTAGTGGACCTGACAGCTAGTGAGAAAGCTGTTCATTCGGAATTTTTCAATGGTACTTGTCCAAAGATTACGTGCATTTTACCATCCCCCTCCAAATTGATGGAAATTCAAGGACCTCTTCCCAACATTTCAATGATATATTAAATATGATTTAATTCTTCAAGTATTTCTCTACATATTCCATAGAAGATGAAGAACACACTCTTTTCTCTCTCTTGCATAAACAATAATTCAAGTTAACAGAATATACGGTTAGTTTATTCGCTTCTTTTCAGAGTTTCATGATCTTTACGACGACGATGATTTGGAATAGAGCAGCATTCCTAAACACTTGCACAGGTTAACTTGGCATCAAAGCAGACAATTTCTTATTCTTGCAAATCCATGTAAAAACCAACAAACATTGTATGTCGTGAGGTGCGTTCAGCAGAAAACTGTATTAATAAACTCTGTGCTGACAAAATAATTATTACTTTTGATTCTTTACAAATACCAAAGAGAAGGAATGAGCTGAAAAAGGTGGAGCGTTAATGACGAAAAAATGATTTCCTTCTGTTGAACGCATCTATTAAATATAGCATGTTTATACATATAATAGATATGAAAAATGTTTTTCGTTTCTCGAGTTTGCTGTAAAAACTTACCGCAAACCCTTACATAGTATCGTTATTCAATGCACATCCTCTCCGCTCAAAAGACTAACCACAAACTACAAACTTCATATTATAACATTATTACAATTTATTTGTATTTTTAATTCGAGTCAAATGTGCGCCTGCATCTATCGTACGTCACTTTACTGCTTACCACAGACAATTGTTATTATAAACGTGCCATAAGAAAATGAGTACTGGTCAATATATCTCGTACATATAATAATATTATGATACTGTAAGATTATAATTTATAGTACATAGACGCTAGCCATATAAACTTGTGTAGGTCGATGCACAACTAAAATATAGCACCCCATTCAGTCATTCATTTCTTTATACCGTTTCGATCGCGTTTCGCGCGTGTGCATCGAATTGCCATTTTGTTAGTTTACGCGAAAAGAAAAGCGTGCCACCTAGATTGCCGCCAATTCAATCAGCCCAATTAATTGCTACGTTTTCTCCTTGGCCCCAATCAACATATTTCCTCTTTGACCATTCTCTCATTAACTTTTCACAGATTTGCCTTCCTATCCTTGTTCGATATATGTTAAAAACTGGCGACCGGGGTGAAGACGATATTATTTATGTTGGCATATCGCTGATGATAGTGGCGAGTATCCTAAAATTCAGAAGCAAAATTGCCTTGTCGGATATCACGGATTCTCTCAAATTTTCATTATAATAATTGCTGCAGCTGCGTGCGAATATCGTACAGTATGAGGCACGTTTTCATGTATACATATATCGTATGAGCGAATGAGTGATCGGGAGGGGAAGAGAGGGGGAGGAGTAAGGAGAGGGTAAACATACAAACCCTGAGTCTAGCCTTTGAAGAATTATTCGGGATGCTAGTTAACTTCAAGATCACTGTCAGCCTGTTCATCTTGGTCGGTCTCTTCCTCGTCGTCCTCTTCCTCTGAATAGTACTGAGACGGTGGCGATAAAGGATCTTCCGACAATGAAGTATGCGACGATGACGGTGGCCGAGAACCTTCCAATTTCATATCTAAATCCTCCATCGATGTACTTGGCCCAGGAATAGTTACTGGAATAAACTTCTCTAAATCCCCTGATGCTAACTCTGCAACGATCGATCCTGTTAAACAACTCGACAACGACACTTTAATGTACACACACGATATAGCACATACGTTCTACATATTTCTCCAGTGATTTTGGGACCATTGATTTTGCCTTTTTTAAATTTGCCTCGGTGCATTCCCCCTTTTCTAGTCCTACAAGAATATGTTGTTACAATTCGGAGATTTACAGTATATCTTGGCAAAAATGCTGACTAATTGTAGCATAAAAAGTAGCGTCTCTTTTTACCGAAAGCTAGACCCATCTGCTTTAGCACTTCGATATCGTCATGAATTTCAAACTTATCATTAAAATTAAACAGGTACTCGGTTCTGTAACGATAAGAGATTGCTTATCTTTTCATTCTCACACGTAAAATTTCTCTTATACATACTTGTTCCTTCCTTTCTGATACATACTTGTCATTTGAGATGCTGCAATCTATGACAGTCTTTTTACTGGTATTCACAATGAGGAATGGCAGCTGTATGGCAGAATTGGGTTTCGGTGGCCCGCGGAGACTCTCGTTTAAACGATTACGTTCAACCAAGTTCTTGAAAGAAATGTGAGACAGGATTAGCTGATGCAACTGCTGCGTCTTAGCTTTGATTCTTTCAATCTTCTTCTTCTTATCCTTTTCTAATGCTACGCATTCCTGTAATGAGTTTGTAGGCAAACCGAGCCACCTGATTTCTTTCTTCTCTTTTGAAATTATATTCATTGCCATTAACACGTTTAGAGCGTCGTACACGCGTCTTCTGATATTTTTCTGATCATATTGCTGGAAAGAGGGCAGTATCCAATATTACAATTCTTCAAGTTTACAATTGACATACACTAGGAAATAAATACCTGATCTGTCAGAGAATTTATGTGAGCGGGATTAGTAAATTCACCGACCAATTCGTCCGCAACTTCATTATAGGAAGTAGTGCCTTTCTTTTTCACTTTCTCGCAAACTTTCATCGAGAAATGTCTCAATCCTTTTCCGACCTTTTCTACTTTTCTCCGTTTACTATAATACAAAGAAATACGATATATAAGTGGAAATTTATAGCTCGGTGTGTTGATGAAGTAGATTAACGTAGAGGATTTTGCAAGATTGTAGCGAAGCTATCATTGTTTTCTCTCCCCCTCCCCCCCCTTCTGTGTCTATGTGTACGAGCGCATACAAAAAAATCATTGCATTACTCAGGCACAAAATCGCCACTTTCTACATCCTGCCTTTTTCTAGATCCACTGTGATCTAATATTGGACTGATAAAAGTTTTCCCAGTGGCATCCTTAACAAGTTGCGAAGTATTAGACTGTTGCTGCTGCTGCTGCTGTTGTTGCTGCTGCTGCTGCTGCTGTTGCTGCTGCTGCTGCTGTTGCTGTTGGGATGCGATAGCCTGTTTTATGTCGCTCTAAAATAAAAAAAATTGCATTTTACAGTTGTTAGAATCGTTGCTTATTCATTACAAAATAATATTAACCATTTGTGCAGAGGTCAACTGTATGGTTTTGGTCATCATAGATTCCCCTCCTTTTGATGTTGCCACTTTAGTATTTTGCAAAGGTATTGTTACAAGTCCTATAATTTAAAGACATTTCCAAATGGTAATATTATACTTATAATTATAGAAACAATGAATTGAAAAAGAGCTTACTCTGGCCAGGTGTAGATGGATTCTGCAAGCTAATAGTCCTAAGAACTTGTGTATTCGATGATAAAACCTAGTTGGAACGATACATGCGTAACATTTATGAAATAAGTCTGATTTACAGCATTATTGCAATAGCTAAAGAGAAATATTGTACATAACGAGATGGAGCTTGTATCGCTGTCTCATGAAAACTTGTTAGAAAGAAAAGTTATATAACCTCTATTAAAGAAAGAGCCACAATTGTGATAAACTAGATGACATCTAAAGTAGAGGCAAGTACCTGCGTTTCTTGATTAGGAGCTTTAAACACTTTAAGGCCACCTGCATTTGTTGTGCCGACAATACCACCTAATGCTTTATTAGGTGTACTCTGCACCACTTTTATCACTTGTGGATGTCCTGCAATGTGAATTGGATTCATCCGTAATGATATGTTAGTTGTCGAGACGCTATTGTGACATTGAAGAATGGAAAGATATATTAATCAATTCTATTTTGAATATCGTACCGAAAGTAGACGATAGAGCTCTGACATGTCATGTTAGAAATTGTCTCACGTATAAATGAAATAGAGATTAGGAGATAAAAATGGAAATGAATGCAACGTTACTCGATTGTAGTAAAGTGTTAAAAGACAATCTCGTGGTGAATATTAGATGAAATGGAGCACGATAACGGATGAGATGCGGAAAGTGATGATATATGTAAAAAGCTTGGAGAGCTACGGGGGAAAGTTGCCCGTTGCCGTCGGACAAAGCTGATGGAGTGGCAGGGCCGCGACTTAAACGGAGGTACGACGCAGGGTAGGGGAGGCAAACGAGCATAGACTCGGAGGAGCTCGCGTGTAATCTCAAACACTGGGCAAACTACTGGACGTGTGCGTTGGCGCGCACCACACTCGGGAGCTCGGAGCCACTTACCATTAGCGTCGTGTATTAGGAAATTCATCGTTTTGTTTTGCTGCGTCATCTCTGACCGTTGGTTATTGGGCCGTCGGTCGGCTGAGGGCGATAGCGCGGATGGGCTGTGCGAAAAAGGGAGATAAAAAGATCATAAGGGCTACACTCCGCTCGAATCGTCGGCTCGGCGTATCGCACCAAAATGGCGACCTCGCATATAAAAGCACTCGCGAGGCTGATTTGCGAGGTGTCGCGCGCCGCGAGAGCAACGCGATCCGTCAGCCGTGGCACGTCGGCGTCTCCTCTAGCGCGATCGACCGCGCATAACTCGCACGAGCCCGGAATAATCACGCTCTACCTGCAGCCAGTCGGTCCCGCAGCTTCCGCGTGCACACGGACTGGAAATGAGCTTGGCGGCACGACAAAGCTAAACAGCTGATTGGCCGCCAGCCGGTCACATGGCCGCTCTCTCGTTCCATCTCGTTCCACGTTACGCGGCGCCTCTCTCGTCACGCTCCGAACCCGCCATAACCCGCCATTCTCTTCAAGCGCCCTTCGCGCCAATTACTCCGATCCTAGGCCGTACAAGCGCGCCCCCTCTCTTTTACCGCTACTTTCGAATTTATTCTCTTGGTATCGTGTATAGGATATATATATTGTAGGATACATTTCTCATACTTTTCGCAAATATAAATAATACATAATCCTTATCCGAACCAATGGTTGCCCATGCATTCTCTGCTCCATTCCGTTTGACATACCCAGCACCAATGGTAGCTGCATCCCGCTCTTGTGCACACCATATGCATGCAACCTCCTGCAAAGAAAAATTTCTTACTTACAACAACCATTCAGATATATGTCCGATGAAAATCGTGCATCTTTACCGTCTCTCTCGGTAGGAGTTCTACACTTGGGGCAAGGCTTTGTAGATAGCTGTATCGCCTTTTTGCTAGCTTCTTCCCACTTGGCCTGTGAAAAATACATGTGACACCAATCAGCTACAAAACACTTGACATTCAATTCAACTCACCTCGTTAGCTCTGGCAGGATCTATGGAATAATTTCTTGAAGAAAAACCACTCGTAGACGTTTCGAGACTTTGCGATTCACATTCTCCCACGTGATATCCCTGCAGACAAATTCTGCAAAAAACATACTGGAAAAAGGGTCATTGATTGTGAGTCAATTGATCGCGTGATTAATAAATTGACAAAAACAACACTTACGCCACATCCACCGATGCATTGAATCTTTCGGCACTCTGCATCCTCCGCCGAAGGTGGTATAATACCCATCCCACAGTTTGGCCTTGGACACAAAAGGCCACCGGCACGCAAAACATGTTCCTCCGCGCCAAATCTCTGATATCTTTCATACTGTTGAGAAAAGATTTCCTACACCACCGAGGTAATTTCAGTGGACAAATATGAAATTACATTCACCTGTTCCGTGTTAAGAAGATGGAAATGATGAACTTGACGGATGAAAGAATTGGAGCAGCCAGCAGGGCAAGACAACGTGTAATATCCATCGGTAGTATCGAATTGAAATTGTCGCTCGTCTAAACGAACTGTACAGTATTCGCGAAAGCAATCGAGACAAGTCACATGACCAGCTTCGCACGGAAACACTAAGACGGTTTCCCTGTGTACAGAATATCAACGTTACTCTCGACACTCCTGAGATGTATCTCCTGAGTTCAGGTGCTTACCTGATATCCGTGCAAGCCAGACAAGGGATGTTCCTCAAGTTTGGCTTTACAAGATAAAGGGGCACAGCTTGGTCGTTCTCTCCTAAACTGGGATGCTGGGCGCATTTGAAGTAAAAGCGTGCGTAAGAGACTTGATTATCGGCCTCGTCGCTAGATGCGCTCGCAGTTACGGGACAAACGTCGCTCTCGCAATGTACCGTGATTCTTGTTGGTTGCAACACGTCTGGCCAGCATTGAGGATCTCTATCGACGGTTACAGCGCCGCTGCCGCACCTCGCACACTTGACTCTCAATTTACCTACCGTCACCTCCTTACAGGGAGCCGAACAGTATACGTAAAAATGTGCCCGATTCTCCTGCTGCACTGTCGACAGTAACAAGGCAAATGAATTCATTATTTAGACTAGGGAGTCGCACACTGCCTCACCTTTCGAGGACAAATTTCCTCGGTCCGACTCATCCAAGGATAAATCCATAAGTGTTTCGTTCATAGGCTTGCCACCACTGTCGTTGAAACTGGAGGCCTCTGACAGGGACTCCTCTATAGGACTCGCAGTACCCTTCATTTCATTCAGCATTTTACGCAGGGGCGTCCTTACCGCGTGCAAAGTGCTCTGTTGTCCCAAGTCGCACTCCTTAAACACATTAAATGCATCAATAGAAATAACTTGATCTAGTTTATCTAGGCCACTCACCTCTATTATCGTCGAATTGTGCAGCTCTTTACCCGCGAATATAATTTTAATATCTTCCGGTGCCATCCCCATCCGAGGCGCGACAATCTCCTTTAAATTCTTTATGTCGCACTTTGGATCTAATTCGACGGCAAGAGTGTTGCCCGTATTCGTTTTAATGTATATGCTTAGAGAGTTGGATATCTTTCGTTTGCTAGACCAAAATATTCGCAACATTCCGAGGAAGGCGCTTTTCACCAAATTAAACCAATAGCTCATTACTCGTGTCGTGTCTCGCCAAGATTCAAGTACGAGCTGCGAAGTAAACACGTGTTTCCATAGGCGCGCAGGTTATATATCAGGTTATATTAGGACGCGGAGCAACGTCAGACACGTCAGAGAAGCACGTGGCGAGCCATTTTGGTCAGCCAATTCCTCATTGGCCACTCTTTTCCTCGATGCATCCTCCTTCTAGTCAACCATCGTCGATGCCACAAGCATCTGCAAATAATTGATAATAATGGCGTCTCCTCGACCCAAGTCACCGCGAATCCCGGTTTCCAGCAAGAAAGAGGACAAGGAGGAAAGTTTCTGGGATAAAATCGGGACACTGGGACGGAAGAAACGTATCAAGGAAGGTACAACGTTTTACTTTCGTATCTTGTAGCGAGACTCGCACCAACTTGGTTACGTCACTTTCCGACGAAGCTCGTGTCCTTATATGGAGCGGGTGTTTGATAATTTAATTTTTCCCTCTTTATTTGACAAGTTGGGTAACAAAAATACATTTATTAGTGAAAGATGTACAAGAAGAAGGGAAATATGCCATCGATTCACCCGGGTATGCCGCTAATCCTGACATGCCACCAGAGGAATACGCTCTCGACGAGAACGAAGAACGTTCGATGATAGAGCCGAAATCCTTGGAAGATGCCAAGCTGCAAGAATTGATATTTGTCCTGATCGAATGGATCAACGACGAATTGGCCGATCAGCGAATTATCGTGAAAGATATCGTAGAGGATCTTTACGACGGACAAGTGCTACAGAAGCTTTTAGGTATGGATTAGCTCCCTTTACTCACTGCTCAACTTGTAAAGCAAAGTTTGGCCCTAGAAAAGCTGACTGGGGAGAAATTGGACGTGCCTGAAGTAACTCAATCCGAGGAAGGGCAGAAGCAGAAGCTCGCTGTTGTCTTGTCCGCTGCTAATCGTGTACTCGGTCGATATCCGCCTTACAAATGGAGCGTCGAATCTGTACACTCGAAAAATATCGTCGCTATTCTGCACCTGCTCGTCGGCCTAGCACGGCTCTTTCGTGCTCCCGTCAGATTGCCCGAGAGAGTTGCCGTACAAGTAGTCGTCGTGCGTAAAAAGGACGGCCAGCTGACACACAGAACAGTGAGGGAAGAGCTGACGACAACCTACGACGATTTGGGCATGCGTTGCGAGCGTGATGCATTTGACACACTTTTCGATCATGCACCCGACAAGTTGGCCGTTGTCAAGAAAGTAAGCTCTCATTCGATGGCCTTGCGTACAAAGCTCTTTTTCTCACATTGCTCACATTTTTCAGTCATTGGTAACGTTCGTCAATAAGCATTTGAGCAAGGTTCATTTGGAGGTGACAGATTTGGATACTCAATTCCACGATGGTGTCTTCTTGATTCTGCTGCTTGGTCTCTTGGAAGGTTTCTTCGTCCCGCTGGGTAGCTTTCATTTGACACCAAGGACCATTGACCAAAAAGTTCATAACGTTTCCTTTGCATTTGACATCATGCGAGACATTGGACTACCAAAGCCAAAAGCTCGTCCCGAAGGTTTGTATTGTCATTTCCAAATTAATTTTTCAAATCGTTAAATTCAACCTGCTCTTTTTCTCTTACAGACATCGTCAATCTGGATCTGAAATCTACGCTTCGCGTGTTGTATAATCTCTTTACCAAATACAAGGGGATAAATTAGTAAAATTCAATCAATTCAGCTTTTTAATGTTGCACAAATGTTGCCTTACTAAAGCCTTTTAATTATCCTAATCGAGCTGCCACTCGAGATCTGACTATTCGAGCTTTATTTTCTTCTTCCACCAAAGTCGTTGTCTTTATTTCAATTCGACAAATGAAAATGTACAAGAGAATGTGTACATACATACAGCTAGATTCACAGAGCGGAGAAGATTATGTTGTACTATTGTATATTAAGCTTTAAGTAACCTTAAGTGCCTTTATATATATCCAAAGGATAATATATTTTATACAACTCCTATTTATCGTACACCCTTTTCAATGGAATAATAATGTTTATTAATAAATGTGTCAACTATTATGGGTTTTCTCATTTGTGAAAAAGTCACGAATTTTGACGACACCTTTTTTTGATAACGTGAATATCAATCGTTTACTCGTTTGGAATTGTGTCAACGCGATCGTACCTGCCGGCGTCGTTCCGAGATGATCGATCGGGCACCTACGTGACAGCTGCCTATCTTTTGCCTTTCTTTTTGTCTGGTGAAAAGGAATATTCGGTCTCGTGCACGAGACCCAATTCGATGCGGCATCATCGAATATCGTCTATATAATATATGTGATAGTACATCGCGCCAGTGCAGATATATTCTTTCTCCGCCGCGTATTATTCTCTCTTGTATCGATTGTAACTTTGAAATCCGTTTGCGCGGATCTTCTTTCAACGCCAATTGTAAGAAGAGTGTTGAACGCATTCGTGCTATTATTTATCTAATTTAAAGCATACCCGTATGATTTCGATGCAACAATTATGCCGTGATAATTGACGACAAACTTGGCTTGGCAAGCAAACTGATGGACGGACAAGGAAAAAAGGTGTAGAGTTGATAGACTCGGTGATAAGGTAAAAGTAGTCGTTTCGTCCTCCGACAAGATGCAATTTCGCGGGATACGCTTTCGAAGCACGCGATGTCACGCAACCGACGACTCGGACGTCTTCAGTCTTGTTGCGAATTTTCGCTACGGTGGCCACGGGAGAGATTCGCGTGCATATTTAAAATGCGCTTCCGTCTGTGCCGTTACTTTTTGATTGACACGCTGTAATTGTCTTTCTCTCACAGCGTACTTGCCTCCACATTTAAAATTTAAACCTTCTTTAAAGCTCTCTGAAGCGCTTCAGTGTCCGGAGTCAGGAGTGAGGAGGACTCGCATTCGGGCGCTGCAAATGTCGACTAACGACCCGTCGGACCTGGCGATCCTGTCAGACGATGTCGAGATTGCCATTGATTCCGAGACTCGTAAAACTAACATATTCGCGCTCTACGCAAAGATATTCCGACTTCTTCTCACGGCGCAGATACCGAATTTCAGTCTTCTTAGCGAGGAGCTACGTAACAGAGAACTCGAAAAATTGATATTGCCAAGCGACGAGGAATGGCGTCACCGAGTCTATCACAGCCTCGTCGAGTTGCAAAGAGAAAGGGACGCCGAGGATAGAGGGTAAGTAAAATCCTTGTCTTTTCTTCTCTTTTACGCGACCACTTTTCTTTGAGGATGCAACATTCCAAACAACTCGATGAAAGATCCAAACGGCTGACTCGCAAGAATTCACAAGATTGGGAATGGCGTCCCAGGGAGAAGGGCCATCTCCCTATCAAAGGTAAAAGAGACGAGAGCCAGGATATCGTCGATTCCTCGATGGCTATATTGGGGAGTGCAGGCGGCTCGATGACGGAGGCTCGCGTCGAGCCAGGCTGGCGCATCAACGATATCCTCTTGGCGGCCAGAGTTTTGCAAAATACACGACCCTCGCCGAATTATGCCAACGAGGCCGAGATGAGACGCGTCTTTGGCCTGGTATACGACGTTCTCAGATGTGAGATGTATATGTACTATAATTCGCGAGCAACTTTTGCTCTTATTTTAATAAGAAATAAATATACAGATAAAAATATCTTGAATCGTACTCTCGAGGACGGTGGGTTTTGGTATCGAAACGGTGCTCTGAAACTACGAGAACGGGTAGTCTGGTTGTTACTGTACGATATGCAGGGAAGAAAGTTTGCTCGCCGACGTGCTGGGAGCGCAACCGAGACTCGAGAGAAGATATTCGAGGTTTCTTGCAATTCCTTCTCGCTGCTATTTGCATGCGCGAGTGTTGAGAGTTTTATATACTACAATTTTTCCGTGCTGTTTCAGAGGGTCGGATTAAAAGACATCGAGGATGCTCTTTTGAAAGCAAAGACGCATCTGGCAGCAAGCATCTCGCGTCTTCGTATCGGCGGTTCGGCACTCAATCTTGGTTATATCTCATTTTTAATTGCAATCTCTGAGACGAGCTAGCGCATAGTTTGCTCAACAAAGAACAACATTTGTAAAAACATACATATATCTCTTGTATCCAGACCAACTTCTTCCGGCGCATCTGCGTATCGCGGAAGGAATAAGCTGGGCCGACAAAGGCGCGATTGCCTCCGGATGGATCAACACCATCAAGGTATTGACTAAAAGTCAATTCGTCCAGGATATGTCAAAGCTAAACCTCCAACTTTGTGAGGAAGCGGCGGAGCTCTACGACAACAAGTATGTCTTTGATCCAATTTGCCCAAAGATGATTAATTTGCATGATAAGGCGAGAGAGAAACTCGCCATGTCCGATTTGGCTCGCGATCACCGATTCATCTTTCTGGTAGATATATAAATTCTCATTTACTTGAAATTAATAACAACATATCAAAGAGAGAAAAATGTATTATTTTCTTTCAACTTAGGAAAGATCTTTGTGTCTCGGAGCGGCTACGTTGGCGCAAGCGATACGTGTCGCGCGTCTTTGCGGCCCCGTAATTCTCACGCACTCGATCGCCCCTCGTCACACGGGCTATTTGGCGGGACTCTTGGCTGACATCGAAGATGCCGGCAGACTCTTGGCTTTCGGTGCTGGAGATGGTCGTTGCGAACACGAAGCATACCTCACGACCTTGGGCGTCACTCTGCAGCAATGTAGAATCTTTTCAGAAAAGTAATACGAAAGACGGATTTGTGTTGCACAATTACTATTAGTATTCGAATGATCTGTTGCTGCTGCTTTGGTTAGATATATCGCGCCACCACCGTCCGTCGAATTGGAAAGAGCGACTGTCGTTCTAGCGACCCCCCCGTGCAGCTACACCGGCGTCCGGGACGTTGTCGATCTTGCTGTTGCTCGCGGTGGCGATACTAATTTGTTAGAATCGTTGACTAGCGATACAGCGGGTGAGATCAAACAGCCTCGCGCTCTTTTGGCCGAACAATTTTCCACGCTCAAGTACGCACTAACCAGGCCAAATATACAGTTTCTAATATACGAGGTACATACCATCTTACCATCCGAAACTACGGAAATGATTCGACAGGTTGTTGAATACGCCAATCGATTAGCCACGGAGAAATACATTCGCGAGCATCCCGTGAGTGGTATCTTATGTGTATATATCTACATAATCGAGTTTACACCTTAAAAATTGCTCCATGTTAAAAAACGCACGCACAAGTGTGACAATTCAAAAATAGTATGTTGCCTCGCAGCCAAAGAGAAAGACTCTACTCAAAGATACTAGCGGAAAGATGTCAAAGATGGCGACCAAAAGTGATAGGCAAGAAGAATCGCGGGAACATTGGGAGGAACGGGCGCAAGACGAACAAATGTTTGTGTGCAAACAGGAGGACGAGGAAGATGAAAAGTTGTTAGATACGACCGACGTTGTTGTAAGATCTCATTCAACGTATCGCAATCGTAATTGACTAGGTGGACTAATACTAGTTAAATTATTGTCAGATCCCCGACAGCGATTTGTTCGAAGTAGGGACTATCGATGACATTTACGGCGAGAATAACCAACGCGTGTTAGATCCAGGCTGTTTCATCGCGATAATTAAACGAAAGGAAATGATGCAGTTTGATTCGCTTTTCATGATCAAAGTGGCAGAAGCGAAAGGTCTGTTTGGCGATCCCGACAAGGAGCGACAGACAAAGCAAAAAACCGAAATGCCTGCGGCGGCGATACGTCAGTCGTCGCGAATCAATCGCAGAGGTTGCAAGCGTGTTAAAGTATGTCAAAGTTGTATCTATCGGATCCTATAATTGATGTGAAACATAAAGATATAATTGATTTTATTTGCCCTCTATTTCGAATGCGCAGGTCGAGATAGATCGCTTAGCAGCGCCTACTCATGCTTGGATGTTGCGAGCTACGAATAAGCGTCAGTTGTGCCCTCGTCACAGCCGACGCATCGTTCGCGATGAGAAGTTACTAACGATGCAAGTACGTGAAACTCGAAAGCGAGATGCGCGTCGATGGTGGCGGGATGCAATCGCCTTTCTCACCGATTCGGAAAGACGCCGAGACACTTGCGCTTTCCAGTTTTATGCGACACGTTCCGACCCCTTTACACAAAAACCACTATATCCTTCTCACGAGAAGAAGATGGCATTGTCGAGATGCTACCGCCGTTTTCGACGGCAAAATTTAGCGGTCGATTCCTAAACTCCTATCTAGAATTCAATTTAATTATACATATAAATAGTTTTAATACTCTCTGGCGATTATTGTCATACGAATCGAATTGACGTGTTGGTTCATAGAGAGTATCGTAGACTTTGAATTTTCGTAGCAAGAGATGTACAAGTGTAAATTGAAATTATTTTTGACTCATCGCTGTAGGATGATTAAAATATAGGTTTGACTTTTTTACTTTTGTTTTACTACTTGAGATTGTCACTTTGCGATCAATCGTGTCGATTAATTCGATAGTCGCCAGCTGCGGTTACCTCGGGTTGCTGTTATCTGCAACGTTTTCAAACGCGATAAAATAAACTTTTTATTCGCGCTATAAAATAGTAAATAATAGAGAAATAGCAGTAAAATGTGCTGACGATAGGAAATTGATCGGTTAATGTTAACATTGAGAAAATTCGAATATCTCAAGCATGTATTCAATATGGACAAAGTCAGGATTATCGTGGCGTTGCGGCGTGACAATGCGATACAATTGGTTATCGCATAATCGCAATATTACTAAAGAAGCAGTCATGGAATCGGTACGTGATTTGCAATATTTGAATCTGAAATGTTCTCTCTTTTCCTTCTTCTTCCTTCTCTGTCATTATAAGTGAAACTTTTTCTCAGACATACGAGCTGTATCGTCTCGATAAAGGGCCACTCGAAAAATCGACTTTAAACGTGGAAGACGCTACATACGCGCTCAAGATAATGAACTCTATACGTCGGATGGAAAATAAGGCCGCAGAGTTGTACAGACAGCGGCTCATCAATGGCTTCTTACACTTGTACGCTGGTCAGGTGGATGAGAGATAGTCTAGATAGCAAAGCGATATATGTGCGTGCGAATGAAATTGCGAATGAAATTGCGAATTTGTGCCGTAGGAAGCTATAGCTATAGGTCTGAAAATGGCTCTGGCTGAACGAGACACCGTCATCACGGCGTACAGATGCCACGGTATAGCCGTGGTGTTCGGTGTCCCGATTCGCTCGATTCTCGCGGAACTCCTGGGTCGTAAAACAGGCGCGGCCAAGGGTAAGGGTGGCTCGATGCACATGTACGCCCCGCAATTCTACGGTGGCGACGGTATCGTCGGTGGACAGGTCGGTGCACGTGTTGTCTACTTGTCTACGTTAACCTTTAGTGAGCTTGCTTTACGACTAGGTACCTATTGGCACCGGTATAGCCCTGGCCCACAAATACAATGGCACAGGCGCTGTATCCTTTACGTTGTACGGTGACGGTGCAGCCTCGCAGGGTCAAGTCCACGAAGCTTGGAACATGGCAAAGCTGTGGAATCTACCGGTGGTCTACATCTGCGAAAATAATAAGTACGGGATGGGTACGGCCGTACATCGACATTCCGCCAACTCTCGGCTTTATACGCGCGGAGATCTCATACCGGGAATAAAGGTAGATGCGCGTATGCCTCTACTCCGTTCTTTCATTAATGTAATCTCGCTTGTTACACAGGTCGATGGGATGAAGATCGCGGATGTGCGAGAAGCCTTACGCTTTGGTAGAGATTACGCGCTGAGAAACGGCCCGATTGTACTGGAGATGGTAACTTATCGTTATTTCGGACACAGTATGAGCGATCCCGGTCACTCGTATCGTACCAGAGAAGAAATTAAAGCTGTGCAAACCGAGCAAGATCCAATCGTGTTACTTACCAAGCTCGTCATAGAGAAGGGCCTTATGACTGAAAAAGACGTCGAGGTCGGTATAACTCTCGTATCAATTATTGCAAGTGACATTTCTATTATGTTCAGAATCTACGGATGTCAGCCTACAAACAAGTCGATCAGGAAGTGGAGCAAGCCAAGGCCGATCAGTGGCCAGAAATGTCGGAAATCTCGAGCGACGTTTATGTCAAGCCGTTAGAGAAAGTCCGCGGTAAAGTCCCTTGGGAATTACATTGAAAGCCGATATAAAACGACGATTAAAGTAATTACCTTAGACTGTATAAAGTTATCAATTGCACCGCTACATAAAATTGAATTCTCTTATACATATGTACTTTTGATCACGTTATTTGATAAGTGGAGAGGCAATCTAAAACTAATTGATGAAATTATCAAGCTATCAAGAATTGAGATACAAGATGGAAAAGCATCCGTGTTATCCTCTTCTAGATCTTTGTCGAATAAGATTATGTTACGCACGTTATGCGAGAATTCTCTCCATTTTTATTAATAAACACACAAGTTACCTTTGGTCAACAATGTTTTTCTACTTGCGACGCGACGAAAGTGCAGTCGATTTTTCACAAAGCTTTAAACTAGTATTTAAATCATTGAGCGGATTCTAGTCGAGTTGAAAACGAGATATTGGGAGATTGAGTGAGTCTCGCCGAGAGAAACGATCAATTAAAGCTGGTTTTAAACGACGTTTCAAATGAGAGCGAAAGGGCAGTGGAGAGATGGACACACGGGCTCGATGAATGAGTCAGAAGGCGAAAGAGGCGTAGCAGAGGAGAGGAGAGGCGCGGCACGGCGGAGCCAACGCGAATGCGGAGACAAGGCTGCACCGACGTCTCTGCGGGAGTCGCCTTACGTCGCTCGCATGTGTCACGTCGCGCTAATTGAATTCTAACGAGACGACAGTCGCTCGACGATACATGGCGATATCGCATCCGACGGTCACCTTTACCTGTCTGCCGACGTTCCTTTCATTTTAACCGCGCAGACACGCAGCCGGCTCAGCGAATCTCTTTGACTCGCGCAGTCTCGAGGAACCAGCTCGAATCTGCAGCAAGTACCACATTTTTTTGTTTTTTCGCAAATATTCTTTTTCGCACCCGTAGATTACATTTCTCTCTCTCTCGACAAAGCTTGAGATTTAATGAAGGTTTAACAAATGAGACGACGTCCTTCTCGAGCGAAAACTAGGGGCGGTGGTTCGGACAAACGAAAGGTCAATCGTTCCAAGTTAATAAAGTCGACAAACACTCTCGTGTCGTCGAGAAATTCTTCGCCCGATTACGTTTACAATCGCGCGCGTAAAATTATATTGAGAATGATAGATTGCTTATATATATACGAGTGAAAATTGAAAGCGTCAACGATAAAGCGTTATCTGCAATGGCTATATCTCGCGGTACATCCTGTAGGAACTAACAAGGATACCGTCACTCGCGTTGATATCACCACTGCTATAGAATAGATATTTTTTCGATGGAAAATTTACTTTCAGGCTTGTCCAGGTACGACAACAATATGGAAATGGATATCAAGGTGAATGATATATTGCGAGGTATGTATATATTTCTGCAATGGAATGGACATTCTCTCGCGAATCTGGCGTATCGGCAGAAAACGATCCGATTGAATTGACAGAAGTGATAGCGTTTCTGGAATGCCTTCGCGACGCGCAGCTTCCGCTCACGCTCGAGAGCCTGCGGGAGAAGCTGTTGGTACGGTCGAAAAACACCCTGATGGCTCGACCGTCGTCCCCGGAGCCGTACTTGGACATGAAGTCAGGCCCGAGAAGCCTATTACTGACGAGGAGCCAAGCCGATTCGGAGGAATACGTAGGAATGGAAGAGTCTCAGAGGCATTCTCGCGCGCACACCCACCAGGATTACTACGAGACCTTCGGAAACGAGAACCAGCCGGCGAGCGCGTCGGGCATCGGGAACGATCGTCCCGAGGGAAACGAGGAGGAGCAGATGCTGATCGGGATTTACAAGAATCTATCGGCGACGCAAGTAAGAAGCAAGTGCTACAAATGCGGTTCGCTCTACAGGAAGGAAGGCAAGAAATTATTTTTATCTGAAAGTCGTGCCTGCTGGATGGCACTGGTTGGCTCGCATCTGCTCATCTATCGAAGCGACCGGCACAATCGTCCGTACGCGATCTATCCGATTCGGGGTTACATGGCCCGTGCGGCGCCGAATATCATCCCTCGTGACCGACGAAAGAGCGAATCGGCCTTTGAGATGTACCGCCCTGGAAACGAAACGTTGCAGTTTATCGCGAGGGGGCCCAAGGACATGGAGCAGTGGATAGCCAAGATCTCCGACGTGGGATGCGAGATGGGGAGCGTAGGGAGCAAGAAAGAGCAAGACTGCGAGGACGAGAGGCCGAAGAGGCATGCTATCACCACTGTCGAATCCTCGGTCGACGAGTCAAAGGCCGAGTCGGCGAGTAAGGAGGGCAAAGTCGGGCAAAGAAGAGCCACAGGCGGAAAAGCACCTCCACTACCGGCCCGAATACCACGGAGGCTGCCCTCTTTGCCTCCCGCGGACCCTCGCGCGAGGCTCGACGACGACGACGACGGCGACGACGACGATATCTATCACAGAATCGAAGACTTGAGAAACGGAGACTTGAAGACGCGTTATCAAAATATGGTATTGTCGAAAAAACAGCGGGCTGACGCTGCGGCCGATCAGAGGCAGCAGGAAGAGGAGGAGGCTTACGACGACGTTGCGCCTAAGAAACGGAACGAGAGAAACGAGAAGACGGAAGGGCAGGAGGATGTCGTTGCGAGAGACGCGACGTCGTTTCAACAGACGTACGACGATATCGGTACACTTTCGCGAATCGATGGCGAGGCAGGAGAAGAGTTTTACGACGACGTGCAAGTAAGCTTTTTACCTACTTTACCTTTAACTTTCCCTTCAGATTACAAGTTTAGCACGTTTCCGTTTGTTTGGCACAGAACTTGATTCCAAACAGAAGATTCGCCAAAGATGACGTCAAGGATCAGATCGAAACGAGCAAGCTTGAGAAAAAGTCCTTTCTGGATAGAGTTTTGAGTAGAAGAGACTCTCCCGAGAAATCGGGCAAGAGGCAGCGCCACAAGGGCAAGGTCGATAACGACGACGCGTCCGATTTGGAATTGCCCGAGTATAATTGTCTGCCACCACCTAGGCCAATTTACCAAGTCAAACTGTCCGAGCAGACTCAAGAGTTTTACGACGACGTTCAAGAACGACGTGATAAAGACGATCAGGTAATACCCACGTCGCGTCACGTATAACAATTGTGCAATAATTCTCCGTCTTTCGATAGCAAATCATCTCACCGTTGGATACATGCTGTAACTCGGAAACGGAGGCCAACCGAGACGAGCTGGAGCATTATCAGTTACCAAGGAGCGACTCGTGCGTTTGCGACGCTACGGAGGTGGAGCAGGACGAGCAATTGTACGACGACATAGCATTGTGGGCCGACTTTACGGCGCGACAAAGAGACGTTCTCGAAAAGAGGGACAAGAAGACTTGGAATCGATTTGCTGCAAACAGAAAGTCACGAGTCACGAGCGATTTAAACAACGACGACGTCGGCGGGGCCGACGAGACCGAGGATTCGCCCGAGAGTAATGGGGCGGTGAAAAGGAACACTTTTCAAAAGTTGATCAGCAGAATGGAAAATTCTCTCGCCAAGGTTTCCGCGAGAAGCCCCTCTTCGCTGTCGGCGGGCAAGCCAAATGTGTCGTCGAGCTCCCAAGTATAGCTCTTATTACATCTGTTACCTACCTAGACTAATTGTAACGCAAATGCCATTTGTAAACGCAACCGAATAAAATGGAAGAAATTAAATCCTATCCGTATTATCCGTAACGCCCCGTGTCAAGTTGTGAACCAGCTGCAGTGCGTGGTGCCGTGGTCACTGGACTCACTGGTCAGTGGTGTCTGTGGTGTGGTACGTACACACATACATACATAGGCGCGCGTTCCAAAACTCTGCTCGGGCGATCTCATAGAATCGGGGCAACGGTACGTGTGTCAACGAGCGAATATGTCGCTTGCCATTTCGAAGTGAGTCCGGAGTAAGGTTTTAGAACGCAGCAGCTGACAGCAGCTGATGCGTAAAGATGGCCGGTACAACGACAAACGACACGAGCGGATAAGCTCGTTTCATGTCGCATCACCGAGTCATCTGGAGTCATCTGGAGTCGTCTAGCGTCGCTAGTGCGTATCGTAATGAGAAAGTGACAACGTTAGATTAGAATTGTAATTGGACTCGTTTTCTATCACCATAGGCAATCTCTGATCTCGCCCAAGCCGGCGCCGGCTCGACAATGTCGGGACGTTCGTTTCGCATCGTTCGGAGGAGCATCGGAAAAGGGACGAGATGAGCCTGGTAGTGGAGACAACGACGGCGGCGGCGATTACTTTTTCTACAATGATACTGGCCTTGCCGTAAGACACACAATGCAGATGTTGAATATCTACGTGACAGCTCTAATATCTTGCCTTTTTTTTCTCTCCCTTTCTTTTTCTTCAAGGCGACACTGCAGATGTTGCAGATGTTGCAGATATTGCAGATACTGCAGATACTGCTGTAGACACCACAGACGTCGTACGCACCGTCGCGATTGAGTGCAGTCGACACCTTCTCCGAGACCGAGTTCAGTGGCGGTACAATGGCTTACGACTCGCGCAACGTAGCCAAGTACGCACCAAACGCTCCGCAGCGGCCCACTGGATACGCTTACTCCGGCCCTCCGTCGCAGCATTTCCAACAAACCGACGAAAATCGGAACGAGAGCAATCTACGTGGCAGCAAAGAGCTCTGTCCGCAACAGTCGTCCGGCACGCAGACCGTGCAAAAAGTGGATGCCGCGACCATGACGGACCCTCTGCAAATTGATTTTAGGCTCACCTCCGAATACCTGGCGCGTTGCTCCAGTACGTTAGGTTTACCGTACGTCGCCAAGTATGAGGATTGCGGCAGCAATTCCACGACCATGTGTCCAGAAGTCAGGCCAAAACTTGAATTTGAAATCGAGCCACAGCACATTAATGGTGAGTTACTCTTATTGTTGGTAAAAATGGCGCTGTCTCGACATTAACACGTTATTCTTTGCCCGCGCAAGGTATCTTGGTTTACCATTGCCCCGAGTGCGCGTACAGATTTGACGATCGGGAGACGCTTCACGAACATCTAGAGGATCATAAGCAAAGACCGCACATCTGTGATATTTGTGGGGCGAGCTTGAAGCGGAAGGAACATTTGGATCGTCACAAGCAAGGCCACAACAAGGACAGACCGTATCAGTGTAACATGTGTTGTAAGGCGTTCAAACGTAACGAACACTTGGCGCGCCACATGATCACTCACTCGGGTAGCAAAAATCAAATCTGTACCGAGTGTGGTAAAGCTTTCTACAGAAAAGACCATTTGAAGAAACATTTGCAAAGTCACAACGGTGCTCGAGGCAAACATTCGAGTATTTCGCTAAGCAACCCCAACGATCAGCAGCCGAGCGACCAAGGACTGACAATGAGTAGTTTCGCTATGATGATGAGGCAGTCTGGGCCTCCTCCACTTTCAATTCTACGTACATAGTTATTACGCCTATACTATAATTACCTGCATCCATTCTTATATCCTTGTCTATCAAGCAGAAAAACTTTACTTTTACCTATTCTTAGTGATTTCTCATTTCCCTCTATTACCTGTAATGAGCTTTCTGCGAAACATACCTATTGGCAAAATGTGGGCATCCAAGATAACTTCTTGTTAATATAACCCACGTTCCTAACCAAGTATATCTTATTGCTACATATTTTGTCAACAGGTAGACAAGATTATGATAATGTTATCCATTTTCTAATATCCTTTATAATACACTATACGTGTAGCAAGTTGTCTATATCGTGAGAATGTACCTGTTGGGAGGGAAGGGATTTTTCTTTAAGCTTCAACAAGTCGACATCAAAATTCATTTCGCCCTTTACTCTTGAAAGAAATGCCCTTCTTTTCGGAGAAACTTTGAGAGAAAAAACAAGTATCATCAGTTTCGCTTCCACCAAGCTACTACACTCTTATAAACAGAATCGAGTTGGACATTTTATCCTTACTGCTGTTTCTTGCCATTATTTGCGTTCCCTCGAGAGATCAATTCGCAAACTAGACATCATCACACGAGACAATAGAAATCAATCGAGAAACACGTTAAATTCCTTCTGTCCCAAGCGGAGAAGACAGGATGACGCCAATACAATTTGGTAGCAACGCAATAAAGTGTCGTTTCTAAAAGTTCTCGACTTTGTTATCTCTTCTCCTCGATCACCGAAGGCATATCACATTGTAACAATGTTTCCAATGTCGTATAACTACAAATCTTTGATTAATAAGAGAATCTATAGAGCACTCTGTAGCGAAGAAAGGAAATATCATCCGTGTGAATTTATTGCTGTCAAATTATCGAAAAATATTTCAGAAATATGTGAAAAAGGTTTATTCGTTTGTACTATTGTTTCAAATAATGTCACTATCAAACTTTTGGCAAATCTTGTATAGTGACCCTGTCGCTTCGTCAGACAGTGTCAATTTCCAACATTGGTAAACATACGTGTCATTATGGGGTTTCATATACATCAAATTTGTATGAAAATTCCTGGTACTTTATTGGCATTTTCTTATTATATCGTTAGTTGCGCTCTTGTACATTCATATACGCACGCACAGACACAGGCGTATGTACGAAATAAGAGAGCAGAATTTTAAACCCTGCTAAAAAGGAAATGATAGCATTTTGTCATTAACGCAATAATTATAATTGAATTAATAAATGATTATTATATAAAAATATCATTTATATAATTCACAGAGTCAGTGGAAATGCAAGACGCATGTTTTATCGTCTCTCGCGCGCAAAACTAGAAAAAATAGAAAGCGACATAGGATAGAAGGGGGGGGGGGAGAGAGAGAGAGAGAGAACCGATTCTTTTTGGGTAAATGGCCCCGAATAATAAATCTGTGATAATTTTTTCTTACAATTTATATACGTACATATGTAACAAATTGTAAGAAAAGATATATGTCACGCATTTTTATGAATGCACTGTGTGTGTGTGTGTGTGTGTGTGTGGACATAGAATGTAACATAATGAGGATACTACACGTACAATGAAGCATATTACCTAAACTGACCTTAAGTATTTGAAAAATGCGCACAAATATTAGACTTGCAGTCTCGCGAGATCTAAATTTATCCGCATATTAATACATACCACATACGTTTTTACTCTAAATATTTATCTCTCTTTTTATTTATTATTTATACGTTCATTCATCTTTCGCGTCCACTCAATTTTCTCATCTCACGGTTTTAGAATCGACAGATATCTTAAGCGTTCTATATAAAAATAAAACATTGACGTTCTGATATCAGGAAAAACGCTTAGTTATATCTCTTTCTTGTTTAATACATTTGTTCTTTTTTTTCTCTTCATTGTCCTTACCGTGCTCGTTCGTCATGTATAAAATTTTGATTTCACATATGACGCATAATCAATATTTTCGTACCCTGGAAGACTGCGGTACTGGACCGCGGTACTACCAAGAAGGTAGCAACGTCAAGACAATCGTAGGATGATGTAAATTGAGGCAGTTTAACCAAAAGGATAATCAAGTGAATATATTTAGAGATGTCAAGACAAAATCGTCAGGGTCATTGAACAATTTGCCGGAAGTCCTCAAAGTCATTTCACGTTTATATTCGCGTGCACAGTGTATGAAAACATTGCATTGCTATCACATCTATCATGACGCTTCTACGAATTCCAAATGAGAAAATAATATATATATATATGTAGAGACGTAGGGAGGCTCGAAGATGACAAGCAAGACGGAAAAATTTATGGAGATTATATTTAAAATTTGTTTCGAAAATACAAACTGAATCGAGCACATTCAGCATTTGAATGTATCGCATCGCGAAGACTCGTTCGCATTCGGCGTCCTACGTAAGACGTAAGACGTAAGACGTAAGACGTAAGACATAAGATATACGTTGGAAAAGATCATACCGCTATTGGACAAAAAGGAATTCGTACTTCGAGGTCAGCCGGTCGTTTCGCTCGTACGACTCGTACACCTTGTCACGCGTCACGCATCTAATCTATCTGACAACGAGAGAAACAAGAATTTGTGAGCGTTTGTACTATGTCGAGGAATTTGTATGTCTTTTCATCAATCGCCTGTTAACATATCTTGTTAAAAACTTTGCAATCACGCATACACTCGTAGCACACACTCGTAGCGACAAGGCGTCGATTAGACAAGCCAAAAAGACTAAACTACAGTCCGCTGGAGATCTTCTGTTAAACGCATACTTAATAACAACGACGCGCCTATGCAAAATCTTTTCAGCCAATTTTGTAGATTACGCGTTCCGCGAGAAATGACTGCATTCAACAACTTCCGACGAATAGGAAATAGCTTTTACAAAAAGCAGAGTAATGTACGTTCATTCCCTCAACTTTTGTTTCGCACGAATCAATTGATAAAATTACGATTAACTTCTTCCTTTTGCTCTATAGCTTAATGCAAATAATTGAAAGTTTTGATATTGCATATAGAAAAATATGGTTCTCATTGCAATCTCTTCTCCTGCGAAAGACTCACATTCGAATACGTCGAAATGCCATCACGTTTTCTTTTAGATCTTTCCGCTTGTCGAGTAGTAGTCATCAGTCGTTGCGACTGATACATTTTCAAATACACGTTTTTACACGACCTATCGTTCGCAACGATATATTTGCTATTCGTGACAGATATAAAATATGAAACAAAGAATACGTACATTTGTGCGGCAAAAGAAGCGGAAAAGATTTCGATAAATAATGTTCAATGTAGAATTAGCCTCGCTTACAAAACGGTATGTACCAAAGGAAGCTCACATGGTATGTCATAGACTATCAAATAATCGTGAAAACGTTAAGGAAAATATACTCTGCAATAATTCGCATCGAATGGAAATCGTTGCAGACTTGTTGTGTAGTTTACAGTTTTCTTATTTTTCTGCGGTTTCTTCGTAACTAACTAGTAAGCGCGTCGCAAGAGAATGGGATCTTGTTTTCTCTATGTTGCTGCTAATCTTACCATTATTACTAATATTATTATTGTTGTTTTGTTATTAATGTTATTATGATTATTGTTATTACTATGCCTTTATTATTATTATTATTATTATTATCATTATCATCATCATCATCATCATCACCATCACCACCATAATTTTTTATATAAAATCCATATCTTTTTATCGATCGCTTTCAATCGAGATAAAGGAGAATCAAGTCTCTAACCGTTATCTTCAATCGAAACCGAACGAGTTTGATACTTGTTGAAAAAACGGCATTTCTATATTTCAGTAAATTTCTCTTATTTCTATAGCTTTAAAAATTCATAAACATTCAATTTGGAATGATTCGGCTCTTATCGTTATTACACCTTTGTTTCAAGAGAGAAAAAGGTATGTAAGCGAAATAAATTCCTCGTTCGTTGAATGCAATAAACGCATTCGCATATAGGTAAATTGTTCCTTTTGGCTCTCAAATTGCTTTTTGATTTTGTGAAAAGATTAAGAATCATCAAGTATCGAGGTATACTTGATAAAATCAAAGACGCGACACAATCCAGAATCAAAGTTGTTCCGGATGATTTCTTGACGTACCTAGTAGTCGTGGAAAAAGATTGAGATAAAAAGGAAACCAACAGAAAAACAAACCCCCGAAGAAGACGGTCGCTCGAAACAACGTCGTGGAGGCGGACGAGTGTACGTAGTTCCGAGAACGGACAGGCACAACGCGCCGCGTTTTCGATCTTAAATCTTACTATGGAAAACTATGTGGGTGCGGAAAATCCAGCGCAATATAAAGGCACCGGAAAAGTATTTCTTTTTCTTTTTTGTTTCTTTTCGTAGAAACGCTTCAACTATCATCTTTCCTTTTTCTACAGGAACATTACTACATCTATGTAGCTCGACGAAACGATCGGTTCTATAAACCGTAAGAATCGACTGTTTGTCTCGTCGAGAATGGGAATAGGTTCTTTTAGCTATCCTTCAAAATAGACCTTGAGCCACTCATTTGTTTGAACAGTATGTCGAAGACGTGTGTCGAACTTTGGAAATATTTGCTTCTTCCTCTCATCCGCTCTCTCTCTCTCTCTCTCTCTTTTATAAATCATAAAGCTATTTCTCATTATCTTTTATCATTATTTGTATATCCCACCTACCGCCTGCAAAAAACAGGTTACTTTCCTTAAAAGACTTGTATCGTTCTATGTATCGGTTCCTCGCACATACATTCCAACATATAGGACGTACGACAAATCTCGCGCCTTTTTCTCAAAAGTAGCAGAATGATGTTATTAAAAGACGACACGATCCAAGTAGATCAAAATGGTGAATCAAAATAGACGTTGCTATATCGCCTTTTGACGCTCTATTACTTTGGTTATATGTATGTAGCTATTTATCTTAATGAAATCATCGATTCGGCAGCATTATTTCCAGTTGTCATTCAACCGTTGTACTTTGTACGGCAATCCCCGATGAATGATTTCTAAATGAAAAGATTAAGTTTTCTACATTACTCTCTAAGTAAAACCTGGTCCTTTTCTAAGCTTTCCTTTTCCAGCTGCTCGTAGCAATTTTTTTAACTGTCGTTATAAAAGAAATTATGTACACCTAATTATGTTTCCTAATATCTGCGTTAAAAAGAAAGTGCGCGATATTTGACGCCCTGCATATCTCAACGATTCTCAACTTTTCTTTCTTCGCTCCTTCGCAGATCGCGCGCAAACAGTACATTTTGTATATAAACTCTTACTCGCTAATGCATAATCTAAGACTAACGCTCTGCCTCGATAGTTACAAGTACGTGGCAATGAAATATCTTAATATAAATTGATCTCTTACATACGGCTCTTAATATTTTAGTATACACATGTATGTATATATGCCAGTGTATGAAATCATTTCAATGTATCATTATATTTGAGGTCTGACGAAAACCTGAATTTTCTGTATTACTCACAACGTTTTATGTTAGAGATATGATGATAAAGATGAAACAGCGCACGGAAGGTTCCAACGGAAAATTGTTATTCGTCTCGCTATTGCAACAAGTATACACACGAGAGAGTGTGTAGTTTACGGTATTTCTGTGACATTACCCTTTTTTTTTTTTCATACAATGAATATTACTGTTATTACAGAACGATGTGTATGAATAATGAATATTATATAATCTGATTACAAGATCGTATTCTTATAAACATTCTGTAAATTACAACATGTTTTGTCCATTCTCAACAAAGTTCTCAACAGAGTTCGAATCGACAGATACAATTATACTTGAGATTTTTATTTCCAAGTTTTATAAATTCAATAATAAATTTTCTTTCATTTCTCATCATATTTCTAACATTTCACGTTGAAATATGCATGTTTATACAGTATATAGACACATCCGCCCGTCGTTATTTTAAAGCAATACTTGTAAACATATAAAGATAAATGATAATAATTGAAATAATAACAATAATGATAATGATGATAAGAAAGTCATAACGATGACAATAATAATAATTACAAAGAAAAGTATGTATGTAAAACTGCTGTGTATACGCATTTTTACGCACACATGGCAGTATCTATGATTATATTTAATAGTATCTTAAGTACAAAACAAACGTCTATTAGTATGGCAAGAAAAAAATTAAGAAGATGAATTTAAAATGAATGGCACGAACATTAATACTAAAATGAGGCAAAGTTTAAACTTAAATGCAGTTTGATAATTACAGCAGACGTTTCCTTCTTCGGAAACAATCACAGTCTGTGAAAAGATTTGCAATGTGGATAAATATGAAAATTAAAAACTACCTTAAACACACACTCTGTTCAAGAGACCATAGTGTACATGATATCCTTGCATTACACACGCGCGCGCGCGTGGTGTGTGTCCTATACTTAGAAAATAAATCTTATAGGATATATAATCAGTATTCAACGAATGTAACGAATATAAGAAATCCAACGAAAAATATGTATAAAAACAATGTAAAGTCATATAAAAATTATAAAGGCTAATTAAGCTACTAAGCTCTGCATGACAAGTGCTTAGTACTGCAATAAGTCACAAAGGAAAATAAGAAATTTGCTCCAAGTATTGGGGCAAATATGTATGGATTTGCATGTAGTATTATACAATACGTATATAGATCCTGCATGCAACCCATGCACGCACGCATACGCATACACACACACACACACACACACACACACACACACACACACACAGAAAAGAAAAACAAATTTGAAACTATCGAAAAACATATTAAAAAATGCCGTCAACTTTATATATATATATATAAAACATATGCATATTTATGTATAACAAAAAGTTTTAATAAAAAGACATCTGATTTTTATTCATCACGAAATATTGCTATGCATCTTGTCTTGCATATTTTTTCAAGATAAATCCAAAATTTTTATAACATAAATAATCTTTTCCTTTTGTACATTAAACATCAAATAATTCTATTAAAAATGAAAGACATTGTTTTCTAATCGGTGGGTCAATTTGCAACTCTGTTAATTCTATAATGTGTATTAGGAATATTACGTGTAATTTTTATTCCTTTTACACTATTTGCACTTGTAATGTCATCAACAAAAAAATAATAAAATATTGACAATCATCGCAAAGATCATGCATATGAATACTAATGCAATGATATAAGAAAAGGAAACATAGAAAAAGAGATGTGTTATCTCCCTTTCGCACTCGCGTATACACGCGCACACACACACACACACACACACATTCTTCATCGCTTAGTTACTAAGTTACATCAATTTTTCATAAAAATATCTTCTTTTTCCTCGTCGTACACGACGTATGGCAAGAATTTTTGACTCGTAGTCAAATTCCTACTCTAGAGTTTCTGTGGAAAATTAGTACTCTTCCCACGTATGTACTTTTGTTTGTGCTATAAAAGCATATAATGTCTATGACTGCTTTTTCATCTTTTATATATGTATTATTACGAAAAGTGTATCTTTTCCCTAAAAGATTTTTTTCACCGAGTTGCTGCTATTATGTTACATTTACGGGATATCCAATTATACATATAATCAATAGAGTAAAATTTCTTCGAAACTGTAACAACATATATCTGAGAATCAAATAAATATCTCTTCTATACTAATTGTAAATAAATTTGTGACATATGTTTCGCAAATAAATGTGATTTTTGACGTTGTTAATATCATTATATGCAGAATGACTAGAAAACTCAATTTATATGAAAACACAATGTTCTACATGTAAGAAAAAGTTAAAGAAATGAAAATGATCGCGATGGAAATCTGCATCTTGTCTAGTTTCCAGCTAGACAAAAATTATCTTTATAAAGTAACTAATTTTTCCTTTGCAAAATAAAACAGTGCAAAAAGAACTATGTCAGATCTAGCTTACATTAGTTTCGAGGAATATTTATTATAATTGGACATGTTGCGTGCTTGCGCAAAATGTTATCATATCCCTTGATGTACATATAGCATTATTGTAGTAAGAACGTAACTGTCAAGGAAAATTACAGGGCAAATATGTCAAGTTAGAAATAAATTAAAACTTGAAGAGGGAACCTTTTGCCGCCCTTTTCCTTTCTCTATTATACTGACGAAACGAAACGAAACGAAAGTTAAAAAAAAGGTTTATATATTAAATTTCACTCAATTCAAATCATGGATCAGTCTCAGAGTTACTCCTCATCGTCATAGCCGACGACGACGACGGCGACGGCGACGACGACGACGATAGTGACAATCGGTTAGCGTCTTGGTGTTACCTCTTGGCCGAGGTCCTCTCCTCGTCTCAGAAATCCTTAACGTGTCCCAAAAAGCTAAGCTCGTGCGACTGATAATGACCAGATGTAGCAAGCGGGGCGACGCTCGATTGATGTGCTACATTTACCGCCGTTAAATGATGATGGTGCAGCGAATGATGCGACGTATGAGTATGAAGAATGTTATTTGGATGGGGAACCTGGAAGTTCCCTGGTGGCGGGGCTCAGGACAGGAGGGGACCTGGATGTCCACCCGGAAGAACGGACGACGCCGAGACGGTTGTGGTTTGCATATTCGATACGTTGTTTTGTTGTTGATTCTGTTGCGTGCCTATAATAGTGAAAGAAAGTCACATATTAATTTTGATAGGATACGAAAGAATGCGACACGAGAGAGAAAGAAGAAGGGAAGAGAGCTACTAGCTCGTCTTACCGGCGTTTTGACTCAATTCAGCCTTCACTCTTCTCGCGATGTGACTTCTGGTATGTTTTCGTAAATGATCCTTCCGATAAAACCCTTTGCCGCATTCGGTGCACACGTGTCGCTTCTCCCCAGAATGTATTACAAAATGTAGCGTCAATTGTTCCTTTCTCTTGAAAGCCTTCAAGCAAACGGTGCAAACGTAAGGTCGTTCAGGATTGTGGCTCTGCTTGTGACGCGTAAGATGGTCCTTTCGTTTCAAGCCAGCGCCACATATGTCACAGACGAATCGTCTCTCTAAAGTGTGACCTAGTAGGTGTTGCTCCAACAATTCTCGTTCCGGATACGCCATGTGGCATTCCGGACAACAGTACAACGTCGAGCCGTCCAGCGCTGTGGTTAGACGAATCTCGCCAGGCTTCGGACGCGGCTTCTTCTCTTTCGGTGTCTTCTTCTTTTTCTTCTTTTTATTATTCGGCGACATCATTATATTGGGCGTTGTCGTAGTCGCCACAGCCACCGAGGTCGTTTGCGCCATCTCCGACTCCTTTTTGATACTTTCGGCAGAATATTTCAGAAAATGGTGTAAACTCAGCGGCAAAGTGCTGGCTGGCAAGTGGCTGAGGTAATCGGCTACGGTGGAACCAGGAGTCGCGAGCGACTGCCACGTTGCGGGCATGCTGGCTGGCGTTTGAGTATGAGCGTGCTGTTGGTGATGCTGGTGCATCGTGTAATCCTGTTGAGCGCCATTCGTCGTGGTCTCTCCGTTGCGCTGCTGCTCCTCAGCCTTCTTTTCCTTGGCCTTGTCCTTGTCTTGAAGAAGGTTGCAAACGTCTTGTTGATTTATCGTTTCCGTGGATTGCTGAGACAGAAGAATTTTTCACTTGCCTCTCTCTCTCTCTCTCTCATAGACCAATTGAAACGATTTTGGTTTGGAGAAAACGCAGCTGTCAAGTATCTCTAATAGTTTTTATCTCGAATCTCCAACGTCTATCCATTTCTTACATTTGTGGCAAATAACAAGGAGAAAAAGAAAGGGAGAATAATTTACCTGATGATACGATCGTTTCTCTTGCATTCCAGGCGAGTTGGTTGGTCGTTGTTGAACCGACTGGGCTTGAGAGTACGGTACGTTTGGATAATGGTGAACATTACTGCTGGGATAGCTAGCCTTATTGTTCATCATCACTTGCGATTGAGCGGATTGTACGCCGTTGTTTTCGGGACGGTATTTTCCCACAACCGGCACTCCGATCGGAGGCTGGTTGGGAAAATGATTGGCGTAACGCGCGCCTGCCCCACTGGAGCTATCGGTCGCGAATTGATGGATACTCGGTATAGCACTAGGGAAGTGACCTCCGAACGGCGGGAAATTCATTGCAGACCGTAAGAGGAATTCCTGTACCTAGAAAGGAGGGAAACGAAAAATTCAAAGGATTCACCTTGAGCAAAGTGCGAGAGAGGTAAACGCAAATGGATTTTTCGTTTCGCAGGGGCCGTTTAGTATCTCTACGTGCGTCGATATTACGACATCTCGACTCACTGGCATAACTCGGTAAAGACGCGACAACGACAACGACATCGACACCGACGGCGACGGCGGCGACGACACCACCGCCGCCACTACCATTACCACCGCGCCGCTGACAACGACGATGATGATGATGACGCCCGGCGTTGTATTTACTCACAACGATGTCCCTCTCCCCATGTTTCCTCGCCGTGTTTCCGTACCGGATCCTTTCCGGAGGGGGGGGGGGCAGATTTTTCTCGCACGCGAGAGGATACGTTAGAGAGAAAGAGAATGGGAAGGAGATAGCGAGGACGAGAGACAGAAGACAGAAGCGCGTCAGTAGGCACGCACCACGCCACCACACTGACGAATACGTTGCTGCTGCTGCTGCTGCTGCTGCTACTGCTGCCTGCTGCGGCAGTGGCGGCGGTGGCGGCGGGCCAGTAGGCGGGTAAGGCGGGTAAGGCGGGTAAGGCGGGCAAGGCGGGTTGGCTCGTGCTCAAGCTACCCGCCACCTGAACGCTGACACTGGCTCGTGCCAACCTGACGAACGATCGCTGACTGGTAATCAAGACTAAACACCCCTTTTGTTCGCGCAACGACCGTTTGCGGCTCTACCGAGTCGCACTCGACATGCCGAGGAAAAAAAAGATACGACTAAAAAATACCACTGATGGAAGATAGCCGTGGAAGACGGGGTGCCAGCGCGCGCGCGCGCGCACGCACGCACCACGCGGAGGGGAGGCTGATTGTCAAGGGGACGGGGTACACGCGTAGAGACGCAACCGTCACCCTTCCTTTCCCCTCCCCCTCCACTCTACACCACTCCACTCCGCTCTACTCCACTCCACTCTACTCTACTCTACTCTAGTCTAGTCTAGTCTACTCCACTCCAATTCACTCTCACCTTACCCCACCCCACCCCAACCGCACTTAGTCGATACGCAGCGTGGGGCCTTTTCACCGCATGCACCGCACCAAACTCGAGAGAAAATGGCCGTGCGTGCGACTTGTAGTCTCGCGCAGTCGAGAAATGCAAAAGCACGCAAGTGTCGCTTACCATTCGGTAACTCGCTACCCTCTCTCGAGCTCGCCCGGATAGCCGTCTTGACGCAACCGGCTGTCACCGAGAAAAGATCCCTCGTTGTACGGTGTGTACAGTTGACACCTGTCCCTCAAGCCGGTGCCCCCATCCCACCCATCCGCCCTCTACTGTACCAGCCTCTTAACTATTTTTTCTCTCTCCCGGGTCTCCCGAGTCCCGACTCCCGACGCAACGCGACGCGCTGCGCCGCGTTGCACACTGGCGAAAATGCCCGAATCGAGTAACGAGCATCGGAATTTTAACTTGAAACTTCCCGCCGACGTTTGCATCCCCCATACTTGATACCTACTAACATTATTTTCCAAGAAATTTCAAAAGGGATATCTCACTAGAGAGGCGAGAACGCTTTTTCGTATTAAATGTATGTTTTATTTCAATTTTCTTCTCCAATATTTATGTAAGTAACAATGAAAATGTCTTATGTGACTATTTATCCTACCTATGATAATGATATATATATATATACTTATATATATATATCTATATTATATTATGATAATAAAATAATAATATTTCTTGTACAGTTATACCCATTGCCTTTAATTGTGATACTTACAAATAAAAAGTTTTCCGATGTATACATACATCTTTATCAAAAAGCTTTGTCAGGTGAATCACGATCGATTTGGTTAACATTCAAGGATTTAATTCTCTATGGTCTCTTTTCACCTCTCCTTTTCGCTTCGCATCGCGTCGCGTCGCGTGGATCGTACGTGCCCAATTGAGAAGAATTAGGAGGCGAAAGTGCCCTTGTACTCTTCACTGTAACGATCGAGTTTTAACGGAGAGTTTGCTCCTTTTAGCCAATATCAATATTAAAAGCAACCGAGTGAAATCGAGGATTATCGCGGAATAATCTGCAATTAGATCGTATACAAACGTCCATTTCGGAGCAGCGTGCGTTGTCGCGCAAATGTGTTTCAGTTAATGATTTCCCGCCGTGTTTGGAAAAGTACCGTTACGGTGGTTCCTTCATACGTGATTCTTTCACCATCATCTCACTTACACATTATTCGTACAGCGCAGGTTTGATCGTCACGTCAACACGCCTTTGTGTCTTTACACAAAGATAATAAACATATGCAATGATCTAAATTATAGAAAAGTGTAAGCATGCTCTTTCGTCGCTCTCTACAAAATATCTCTACAAAATACAAATTGGACTTGACGATTTATCGGCAGATCCCCTTATAATGTCACGATTGTATTGTATCAGAAGAAATAAATAAGATTTACCTCGCGCGTACGACACGTATCAATCTCGACTACCGTCTCCTCTCTCTCCTCAGGGACGAAAAGTCGCGCGTGTATTTACAAACTCCGTTCCATGCCGTATCTATTGTTATATATCGCGTTAATTCTTCCATTACGTATTTTATCATCGTCGTAAAAGCGAATTATTATTAGCCCAAAACTCGACCGCCTTGTTATCTCGGGCGAATCCAGTTCGCGCTTTCAAAAATAGATATTTTTGCTGCTTTTTGTGTGTGTGTCCTTGTACGTCTGTGTGTCGCGTATGTGTGTGTGTGTGTATATTTATATATTTATTTATATATTTATATATTTATATAAACTTCATATTTATCTCTAACTGGCGTCATGGAACTGAATCAGCGACAAAAACATCTTATTCGAGGCGAGCGGCGACTATCTCGCTTCTCTTTCTCTTTTACCTACGCTACAACGTGTACGTAAAAGAGAAACTCGTGTACACCAACTTTGTCACTTTAGCTCGGCGCGTTTTATACGATAATTATAAACACGTACGCGAGCTTATTGTGCCGTGATTAAGGTTCATCAAGCCGCTGATGGCGCGAGGACTTTGGATCCCAACAAATCGGCTTTGTGTCAATAGACAGGGGCGTATGTATATCTTAAAGAAATGGAGGTGTTTTTCAAATGCCTGTGAAAGAGGCTGCGAAGTAATCAACTAGCCAACGAAACTTTCGTCCGATAATGAATTGCCTATCCAAGTTGCAAAACTCAATCAGCGAGTACACCGGGTCGTGTACGACCTCTAGCGTGCTGATGATTGAAACGAAAGTACCGCCCAAGTTGATTCGGGGCGGTATGCTGTTGCTAATGTTGTTGTTGCTGCTGCTGCTGCTGCTGCTGCTGCGACGGTTGCTGCGGCTGCTGTTGTTGCTGTTGCTGCGACTGCTGCTGCTGCTGTTGCTGCTGCTGCTGTTGATGATGAAGCATTGTCATAGCTCCAGTTTCAGCCGCTGTAGGCAACACTACGGTAGACTGCTCACTAACGGATATTTGATGAATCTGCGCTTGAGATCCTTGTCCCACTTGTATTTGAATTTGCTGCAACTCGGGTACCGACGACTGTTGTTGTATCTGTTCCACTTGTTGTTGTTGGTCCGCCTGCTGTTGATTCTGCGTCGCATCGTTGGTCGTATTCAATGGATCCTCCTTGGCACGCTTGGTAAGGTGAGATCTCGCGTGCTTTCTAAGATGGTCCTTTCGATAGAACGCTTTGCCGCATTCGGTGCAAACTTCGGTCTTTTGTCCAGAATGTATGACAAAATGAAGATTCAAGTGTTCTTTTCGTTTAAAACCCTTCATGCAAACGGTACAGATGAAAGGCCTGTCGGGATTATGACCTAATTTGTGCCGCTCCAAATGTTCCTTCCGTTTAAGACCGGCGCCGCAAATGTCGCATATAAATCTCCTCTCTATTTTGTGCCCAATCAGATGCTGTTCCAAACTCTCCTTTTCCGGATATGCCATGTTACATTGAGGACAGCAAAATAGGGTGGTGCCATCGAGAGCGGTAACTATGCTCACTTGTCCTGGCTTGGGTTTCTTCGGCTTTGGTGGTTTCTTTTTGTATTTCTTTTTCCGCTTCGGTTTCGCTCCTGCTTCCTGCTCTTCGACAACGTCGGGAATGATGGCCGTTTCTCCTCCGGCAACAGTAATTTGCACAGCTTGCTCTCCCGAAGCTGTGCTACCGGAAGCGTCAAGGCCATCCGCTCCGAGGGGACTCGATTCAATGGTTGCTTCCCTCTTGATAGTTTCCGCCGAGAACTTGAGAAAATGTTGCAAGCTAAGGGGCAAAGTACTCGCGGGCAGTCTAGAGAGATAATCCGCTACCGTGGATCCTGGAGTAGCGAGACTCTGCCAGCTGCTAGGCACGGAACCAATGAAGTCGTCCCCGCTCTGATTACCTTGACTCTTGACACTGCCTCGTTTAATAAGAGCCACGGGGGTCGTGCCCTCCTTGACATCTTCCTTGGACTCCTCTATGCTTTCCCGCAGAATCAAGTCCTGTGGTATCTGAGCGACTACGGTCAGACCCTCGGGCGCTCCCGGAAGTTGCACCGTCTGCTGAATCGTCTGTTGAGACGTGGTGGTCACGGCGGTGGACGTGCTTTGTGTCGTTTGATCGGACCTGCAATCCACGAGTCAATGAGCTTTTTCTAACAGAGCTTGGTACAAGTTGTGCAATGTCGTCTACTTACGTTTGCGTAGTCGCTACGGTGTTTTGCGGTTGTACCTGGATCTGGACACCATCCGCGCCCTGCTGACTGTAGGCGACGGTGAGAACAGTGGCTGCTCCCTGCGGGAACTGACTCAAGGATATCGGTGCCAAGTGATACTTTGGCTGATCGCCGCTATTTCCGCTTTGAGACACGCTAGGATTCACCACTTGTATCTGGACAGTTTGCTGTTGCTGCGTGCCATCTTTTCCCGGGACAGTGATGGGCAAGGTAATAATCTGCTGTTGTTGATTATTACCGCTCTGGGCGACGGCGAAACCATTCGGATCGACCGGCCTCAAATAATGAACTCCACCTTCACCACCAGATAACACTCCAACCACCTGTCCGCCAGTGGTAAGGTTCTGCGCGAATTTTGCAGTGGTGAATTGATGAACGGTGCCGGTCGGCAGCGGGTTGGTGAATCCGGGGAAAGGCGTGAAATTCATTTTTCGCTACGCCTGCAACATGGAGAAATCCACATACTCTTGTTACAAAGTGGTTTACAAAGCTCGTTCTAACGTCGTTAACGCGACGTACTCGCGAGAGATACGAGCAATTATTACGCCATTGCAACGCTACTCTCGAGTCTACGTGATGTGAAGGTGAGAAAGACGAATATGTGTAAGAGCGTCAATTTCGTGGCATGGTTGGTGCGCGTTTATCTAACGCAACAGGTTTCTACTCTCGTATTCCCGTCGCGTTTACGGCGTAAGAAACTCTGAAAGAGATCTCGATTATCAGAGAGGATACATAGAGATGCCCTTTCAAGACGTTGCGTTCCGTTGAACGAAATGAACGAAATGAACGAAATGAACGAAATGAACGAAATGAACGAAATAACGGTGGAATCGAGACAACACGTGGTCCATACGCGCAGAAGCCCGATACCTTTTATCCCGGCCCTCCTCGGGAAGATAACCTAACCTAACTGAAATAAACTCTCCCCACGTATTTGTCGCGAAAGTTGGACATTGGAGCGAGCAGTGGCGAATAACGTGTTTCCGACTCGGAGCTCGGAGCCTTGGCGATATCGTGCCGCGTGCTCGAGGGTGGGGTGAGGGCTCCCCCACTTCACCCCCTGCCCCTACCAGAAAGGGATCCGGGAGCAGGGAGGATAGTCGTCAAAGTGGCCCAGGATCCCACCCCACTCCGCAGCGGCGAGGCGACGGTGCCCCTACGGGTGGTGCAAGGGGTAGGAGCGCGATGAGGGTAGGGGGGAGGTAGCATAGGTGGGAACCTGCCGCCTGCCGCGAAATAGAGCTCGAGACTCGGTTCCTCTTTCTCCCGCGCGCGCGTTACCTCGACGTAGCGACGTAGCCCGTATCGCGCGAGAATGGAATGAGAAAGAAGGCCAACCGGCTGGAGGGTAGGGGAACGTCAAGAAAGAAGGGAGTCGAACCTCGCTCGGCACACCGACACTCCCCGGGGAAGGGGAACTTGAAGTCAGGGGGCGAAGGTACCCGTCGTAGCCAGATGCGGCGCGCGCCAGACGAATTGGGGCAATGATGACAATGATAAGGAAAGCAACGGGAGTGCCCCACCCCTGTTACAGGGACTGCGGAGCAGAGACGGAGCGGATGACGGAAGGAGAGAAAGAGGTTAAGATATCCGCGCGCGCGTACGCCTCTCGGCCGAGGGCCAAGGGTGTTGCTCCGACCGCTCCGCGACGGGGATGTACTCGCCGGACGAATTACCAATTTCGAGCGAGAGAGCAGGGTGGGGTGTGGGGTAGGAGAGGGTGGGGAGACGCGTAGCTTCACTCGGCGTCGACACCATCACCACGCGCGACGTCTTTTCTCGTTGTACGCGGAATGGCGTACGCGATCGGACGGCTTCGTTGTCGCTCGAGCGAGCTCGCCAGACGCGCATGTCGTAATGGCGCACGGTTCTCCTTTAGGGTCTAAGTTTAGCCTCTCACGCTCGAGCGTTCTCTCTCTCTCTCTGTTGCTCTTTCTCGAGCGCTCCGCAAAGCACGTACGTTTGCTTTTTTCCCTTTTTTTCCCCCGTGAGACGTACGAGACCACGTACGTACACGCATACATACGTGGCCTCGACGAGAACGAGAACGAGATAGGCGCGTCTCGATATTACTGCGCGCGGGGCGCCGCACGCCAAGCGGATCGGCGAGTGTTGCGCAACGACGTCCCGCATCGTTTCTTTTCCGTCTTCCAAGCTCCCGATGCTCCCGATGCTCCCAATGCTCCCGATGCTCCCGATGCTCCCGATAATCCCGACGGCACGCGAGCGTATAATCGCCGCGACGAGGGGAAATCGCAGCGACGCGTAGCTCGCCTCCGAGCTCCGACGAGCCCGCCATGTTGGGAAAAAATGACTCACGTAAGAGCGAGAATTGCGACGCGCTCTTTTTACATTTCCCTCTCTTTGCTCCTCTCCCGCTCTATGCACATCGCGAAATCCCTTCTTCTAACGCGCGGAGAGTAATCTCCCTCCCTCCCCTCGCGTTTCCCTCGCGCCGCCGGGCGCCGGTCGTACTACGTGCTACCTGGGGCCAAGGACTGAAATAGGAACGAGACGCGCGGCCACAGAGCGGCGAAAGACGCATCAGCTGACGGAGAGCAGGGCAGACCGAGGTACACGGGCAGGGCTGTTGTTTACACCCCCACTTCGATGGGTTAGAGGCAGCGAGATGCCACGGAGGGGCCTCCGAGACCTCGACGAACACCCACCACCACGCAATTTCCAACCCCACCAGCCTCTCAACCACTGTCCCGCACCTCCAACCACCCCACCAAAGCCAGCTCAAGCCAAGCCGTGAGCCACGACGAGGGCCCCGCGACGATTTTAGTGTCTTGGGGTGGGTGCTGTCTGTGGCCACCGTTTCGCGGTTTCTCTCTCTCGTGCATGTGTCGTCGTAGTCGTCAGGAGCCGAGTGCGACATGACATCCGCATAAAGTATAAAGATAGATGCGATACATGTGTGTATAATAAACGTATACACCCATGTGCATATGCACACATACCAGAAAAATAGGACATATGGTCGTTACATTTGCAAAATTATATACAAGCGATCCAAAGTAGTGCGAAAGGTTTACGTGGCTTTGTTCTACTTACTCGTAAGTACAGGCAGGTAGATGAGCGGGCTCGACTCTCCGTGTACGCTCGGCTCAACGTACCGCTGTTACTGTCGCTGCCTTCGTTCTCCGTACCTCCGCTTAGTACGGGAATTGTCCGTCCGTCTGGCTGGCTGGCTCGCTGGCTGGCTCGCTCGCGTGCGTCGTCGCTCCCAATCCTCTCAGCGCAGCGGCTACGACTTTCTCATTTCAACGTGAACACGCCGACCAACGTATCGCGCTCTCTGCGATGCACACGTCATACATATGCGTAGCGACGTCGGGACGCGCGCGCGTCTCTAACGGAAGCTCGAGGAGAGCTCGAGAGTGACTCCGCGATAAATTCACGCTCACGCTCGCGCTCGCGCTCGCGCTCGCACCGCCGCGCTCTCTCTCTCTCTCTCTCTTACTACCGCGCGACAAGCTCTCGCCGAACGGACTGAACGGAGACGCGCACACGCTTCGTTTCCGGGTTTACGACGACCAACCGCGATCGAATACGGCTGTCTCCTCGGTCGGTAGGTAGAGGC